TTTTGAGGGTGTTCTGTCCCCTTCAGGATCAGATTTAGTTAGTTGTTGTTATTCATTTAATTGTCTGTAAATCTTTATCAAATGCCAGTAATGTGTCAGGCATTGACCTTGACCCTGGCGACTCAGCTGGGAACAAAGTAAGGGCCCCCTGCCCTCCTAGAGCTTCTGTTCTAGCTCTGGAGAAGAGCAGTAAACAAATAAACAAAGGGTCTACAATGTCAGGCAGGGACAGGTGCTAAACAATGCAGCTTAATGGGCCACCCAGGGCCCCACATTGGTTTAATGCTCTGCTCTCTGCTGTCTTGAAATTCCTAATAGTTTTTTAACAATGGGCTCTGCATTTTCATTTCACTCTGGGCCTCACAAATAATTATGTAGCTGGGCCTGAGGCTACAAAGCAATAGTGCAGAGTAAGGGGATGGCTGCAGTAAGCGGGCTTTTTCAGCCTGGCCATCAGCGAAAGTTACCCTGAGGCGGTGACCTTGGGGCAGAGACCTGAAGCAGGTGAGAGATGGCGCCCTGCAGATCTTTGGAGGTGGAACTTTCCTAGCAGAGAACTTCAGGGTTCCGGGTGAGGTTCCATTTCCAGCAAGGAGGCCAGTAACAGATGTACCCTAACTGAGTGAGCAGCAGAGAGGACGGTGAACGCTTGGGTGGGGAGCAGTTAATTCTGGTGGCTTAAGACAACAATACGCATTTCATCTCACAGGGCTCTGTGGGCCAGGAATTCAGGAGCAGCGAGGCGCGGGGCTCTGGCTCAGGGCTGCTGTAAGAAGTTGCTGTCAAGATGTCATTTGGAGCAGGTTGTCCCAAGGCTTGGCAGACGCGGCAGGGTCGTTTCTAGGGTCATTCACGGGACTGTCACCGTTGGCAGGAAGCTTCAGTTCCACCCTGGCTGCCGGCACGAGGACTCAGTCCCCTGCAGTGTGAACGTCTACGTAAGGTGGCTTCAGTGACTTCTCAACTTGGCCCTGAGACCTCAGAGGTAGAGCAAGGTGGAAGTCGCGTCTCTGGTGACCCCCCCTTGGCCACCGCCACCATTTCTGCAATATCCTTTTGGTTACACAGCTCAGGCGAATTCAGGGCAGAAGAAGCTCCCTCAGGGTATGAATCCCAGATGGGGAGGTAGGCCCTGGGGGTCACCTGAGAGGCTGGCTACCAAGGTGTGTGACTCCACTGCAGAAACTTTGAGCATGATGATGATGATATAGATAAAGATATGGAGAGACGTGTGCATGTGCCTGTACTAGGTACATACATAGAAGTAGGTGTATGTATATAGACTAATATAAGGTATGTAATACTTACATTTTATTCCATTACTATATACATTTTGTTATTACACAAGCAATACATAAAACAGAAAATCCCACGTGACCATTTTTTTCCCACCGTCACTGAGATAAAATTAACAAAAGTTGTATATATTTAAGGTGTAGGACGTGATGGTGTGATATGCATACACACTGTGGCATGATCGCCCCGGTCAGGCTAATCCACCCACCCCTCGCCTCCCATTGGCCCTTTGTGTGTGTGTGTGTGTGTGTGTGTGTGTGTGTGTGTGTGTGTGTGGTGAGAACCCTCACGACCTACCCTCCCAGCAAGTTTCAAGTATACGCTACAGTATTGTAACTATAATCACCACGCCGGACATTACCTTCTCCGAAACTGACTCATCTTAGAACTGGAAGTCTGTGCCCTTTGACCAGCGCCCCCGCTTTCCCACCCCCAGCGCTGGGGGGCCACCACCCTGCTCTGCTTCTACCAGTGTGGCTGTTGGAGATTCCCCAGGGAAGTGGAGTCACGCGGCACTGTCTTTCCGTGTCTGTCTGATCTCTCTCAGGCTAATGGCCTCCAGGTTCATCCATGTTGTGGCAAATGGCAGGATTTCCTCCTTCCTCACAGCTGAATAATATGCCATCGTATACGTATACACCACATTTTCTTGTCTATTCATCTGCCAACAGACACTTAGGTTGTTTCCACATCCTGGCCATTGTGAGCAATGCTGCAGTGACCCTGGGGTGCAGATGTCTCTTTACAGTAGTGATTTCGTTTCCTTTGGACATATATCCAGAAGCAACTGCTGGATCGTATGGTATACTACTTCCAATTTCTTGAGGAACCTCCGTACTGTTTTCCAGACTGGCTGCACCAGTGTACAGTCCCCTCAACAGTGCATGAGTGGTCCCTTTTCTCCATATCCTAGCCCCAAGCTCATTGAATTTACATAGATATAAATACATAAATATATATCGCTTACCCCTCAAAATATGATTGTGTTTTATAACAACGATTGCCCCTTAGTAATAAACCCCACACCTGCTTGAGAGTTACCAAGCCTATAGTGTGGGCCAGCGTAGGAACGTGTGGTCTGAGGAAGCCACCTGCAAAGATGTCTTCAAAGGTGTGCTTCTCCAATGTTCCGGAGCATTCCAGTCACCAGTCGGGATGATTCTGACTTAGGAGGTCTGGGTTGCAGTCCAAGACTCTACCAAGATCCCATGTGATTCCGCCTGCTATTGCTGGTGCACAGGCCACCCTTTGGGTAGCAACATCCTAAATGATGAATTATTAAATACTGACCATGCTCTCTGGAGGCTGAGCCCTGAAATCTATTTTTTATTCTATTCCCATTTTAGGCGAGTCTTTAATTTCTCTCTTATTTTGGTGGCAAAATACACATTAACATCAAATGTACCATTTTAACCATTTTAGAGTGTACAATTCAATGGCATTATGACATACATGACATTTGGCAACGATCACCACTCTCTGGTTCTACAACTCCTCCATCCAAAGAGGAAAGCCCATACCTATTATCAGCCACTCTCTCTTCTCCCCTCCACTCAGCCCCTGGCAGTCAGGAACCTGCCTTTCTGCCCCTATGGATTTACCTGTTCTGAATATTTCATAGAAATGGAATCATCCCCTGTATGACTTTGTATGTCTAGCTTCTTTTACTTAACATGTTGTTTTCAAGGTTCATCCATGTTGTAGCATGCATCAGCTCTTCATTTTATTTCTGAGATGCTCTTTGTAAAATGACTGGTGTGTGCCAAGAGCTCAGTGACTATGAGGTGTTGTTCTTATTCCGTCTGGTGTAATTGGTCTGACCAATCTATTACTGGACATGAAGGCTTTTTCTATTTTTCTGTTTTTTATACAATGCGGAGACAAACATCATTATATATAAATATTGTAACACTTGTCTGTTTTTCTCCTTAGAATAAAACCTAGAAGTGGAAAATGATGGGTCAAAATTTTTTCTTATGAAATATTTCTGACCCATAGAAAAAGAACAGATAATTAATATAATGAACTCATAGTTGCCACCTCCGGGCTCAAAAAAGTAAAAAATTACAAATAACAAATGTCCTGTGTGGCTTTTCTGATTGTCCTCTTCCACACACACACCCAGGGTCACCCTAGGGCTCCCCGTCCCTTTGTCATGCCCATGTACCTTTGTATACATTTAAAACATATATCTACACACAACCTTCGTTTTATGTCTTAAAACTTCCTGCACTGGTCTATGTAGATTTCCGTGACTAGCAACCTGCTTTGTGACTGTCCAGGCTGTCGTCTGGGCTTGGACTGCCGTGTGGTCTTTCCCCGTCTGAACAGGCCACGGCCCATTTTCACGCGATGGCCATTTATGTCATTTCCAGTTTTCACCATCACAGACGCACTGTCACAAGCATTCTGGTGCTTAACTTTCTGTTCACATTTGCCGGTTTCTCTGTGGTGTATATCCGCCGAGAAGAGCTGTACTCTTTTTTAAAATTGAAATACAGTCGATACACAACGTTATATTAGTTTGAGGAGTACAACATAGTGATTCGACAATTACATACATCACTCAGTGCTCACCAGGGTACGTGTATTCACCATCTGTCGCCATAAAACTGTATTACAATATTATCGACTTTATTCCCTGTGCTATACTTTTCATCCCCGTGACTTATTTATGTTAAAACCGAAAGTTTATACCTTTTAACCCCCTTCACCTATTTCTCCGGTAACCAAGGGCTGTACTCTTAAGGTTCAGTTACACCGCTAAAACTTTTGCGGAGAGCTGAGCTTTTTATGGAGTCCTCTCTGCCTGCGGGCTCTCCTCTCCTCTGGAGCTGTGGCCATCCTTACGGGGCCTGGGGGTGTCTGGGTTGGGGCTGTCCCAGGGATGGGGGTAGTCGCTGTTGGGGAAGGAACAGCATGAACAGGGAGGGACCTTCAGAGAGGAACCAGCGTGGTCCTTGTTTTAGAGGCCTGAGACACCTGAGGCCCAGAGAGGGTAAGCCACTTGCATAACGCAGCACCCACTCTGTGCCATGCATTGTTTAAAGCGCACAGGATACACAGTGAGCAAAACAAAGGCCCCTGATCCAAGCGCCAAGCTAGTTATTCCGGGCGTAATTACGAGGAATTGCTAATTATGTTTGCTTCTAGGATTGGAGCTGGGGAGTGATCCCGATTGGTGGGGGGGAGGGGCCTGGGAGCGCACCATGAGTCAGGGCTTTCTCCAAAGGCCCCACTCCCTCAGGCTCCTTCCTTCCGACTCTGTTCACCCACAGAGTATTATTGTATTTCTAAATTAAACGGGGCCTTTGGGGGAAAGAAGATGGTCTAAGAGGGATTGGAAAGCGAGGCGCCCTTTGTACCGTGGCAGGGCTGTCAATAAAATTTTGTCGCCTTGGCAACCGCAGGTCTCGCCGGGACTGGCGGAGGAGATGCGCGCGCATTCCCTCGCTCCCTCCGGCCCTCCCTTTCTTTCCCACCAGATAGGGAATAGGGAAGCAGCGGCTGTACGGTGACGGGCGGAGTCCTTAGCCAATGGAAGGATGTATTTCCAAGTCCAGCCAATCACATACAGGCGCTGGAGCCAGTAGAGCCCGCCCTCTTTCCATTCGGACCCGATAACCTGATCCAGACCCGAGTTTCGCTCAGAGCGACGGCGCTTTCGGCCAATGAGGGCGTCAATTTTGGCTGTGGGCGGGGATACGTCGCCATGGGAGCAGCAGACGGACAGCAGCTGGAGCCATTGGCAGCAGTTGGCGGCTCTAGACGGCGTCGCGGGCGTGGCGGGGTTTATCAGGACACAGACGGGGTCTGGGGGTAGGGGCAACGTGGAGTTCGACCAATGGGAGAGGCTCAAGCTACAGAGCAACTGAGGAATGGCAGCGGCCTTGACCAATGGGAGGCTGCAGTGGCCGCAGCAGGGCGGCCTGGTGGAGCAGACTGGGGGTGCGGAGACCTGACGAGAGCTGGAGGAGGCAGTGGGAGGTAGTGGCGGCTGCGGCGCTTGTGCCTGAGGAGGAGGAGGAGGAGGAGGAGAAGCGGGTGAGGGGCGGCGCGGGGCCCGACCTCTGAGTCCCCTCTCGGCCCCCGCCCCGCGCCGCCTTGGCTCCCGGTCGCCCCCAGACCTGACTACCCCCGCCTCTCCCCACCCCTACCCCTCCTCCAGTCCCGGCGCCCAAGTCTCCCGGCCCTTCTGCAGGCCTTGGGCTGCCCTGGCACCCACCCCGTCCCTTGTGCTTCCTCACCAGGCGCCTCCCCCGACGGTCAGGTCGCTCTCCGGCTCTGCACTCCCGCCCTTGCCCTGCACCCTATGCCCACCCTGGGCCCTCCCTGACCCCCAGGCTGTGTCCTCTCGGCTTCCCTACTTTCTTCCCCGAATCCCCGAGGACTTGCTTGCCCCGTGCCTCTGCCTCTCCAAGCCCCGTTCTGGACCCCCGGGACTTCTTACCAGGACCTCCCTGGACCCCCAGGCCTTTCTCCGTTCTGCCTGGACTCCAGGTCTCCCCTCCGGCCTTCCTGGGCCCCTCCCTGGATCCCCAAGCCTTCCCGCAGCCCCTTCTGCCCCCGGCAGGCACCCCGGCCCTTCTCGCTGCCCCAGCTCTCCTGTGTATCGTCTTCACATGCCCATCTGCGGCTTCCGCTCTGCCCCAGCGCCCCCCCCGCAGCGCCTTTATTTAGCCCCGGCCCTCCCGGCTTTTCTAGACCCCCTTACCGGGCGCTCTAGCTCCTGATCCCTCCTCAGCCCTCCCCCCTTGCCGTTCCCCACCGAACGCTCCCTGAAGCACCGCGGTGTGGGAGGCAGCAGGCCTTCCGCAGGCAGGGTTAGGGGTCTTACTTTGTTTCGTCTTGCTAATCCCCCCGTTTCTTTCTTACGGACCTCGTCACCCTCTCCATACTGTCCCTTTGCTCTGCCCCCTTGCCTGCTTTGTCCTCTGAGCTCCCCCTTCCCCGAATCCTTGGAGAGGGAGCAGGTGCTGGGATCCCTCCCACGCTTTCCCTCCCTTCACCCCCCTCTTGGCAGCCCTGGGGCTTCACCCAGAGCCTCCCGACGGCTCCCGAGGGTTGCTGGGGAGGGGGGTGGGGGCTGAGGCTGCAAGGGAGGGGGTGGGCAGGGGAACGGTGTGTCCTGCGAGGGAAGCCTTGGCTTTTTCCTTGGTGAGGCCCAGAGGTGGAGAAGGGCCCCCTGACGCCCACTTCCTGCAGGGCTAAGCCTTTGGGGAGGTTATCCCAGACGAGTAGGCGGGGTTGGAGGCTGTGTCTGTGCCCTCCCCCCATGGCCCGCCTGTCTTTGGAGATTCCCCGCTGTCAGAGTACTTGTTGCGCGTCCTCCCCGCTGTGAGCCCGGGGTCAGTGCCGCTTTTCTCCCCGGCTCATGGCTTATAGATGAGGACACCGAGGGGCTGCCGGCCTGCACAGCTTCCGGAGGTCGTGGAGCAGGCACACACCCAGGCACCGCCCCTGCCCCTGCTCTGTGCTCTCCACTCCTGGCGGGGGGCAGCATGGTCCGTGGGGCACCATGGGGCCCGACAGAGTGACAGCCCGAGAACTGTGTGAGAACGATGACCTGGCCACCAGCCTCGTACTGGACCCCTACCTCGGCTTCCGCACCCATAAGATGAATATCAGGTGAGGCTGTCTGGGGGCGGGTGGGCCCAGGGCTTGGGGACCCCTCCCTTCCACCGCCACCCCCAGCGCCAGGTGAGGGTGGGTGCGGGGCCCAGGAAGGCCCTGGGACCCAGGCGTGCCTCTCCCCCAGCCCCGTGCCCCCCCTGCGGCGACAGCACCACCTGCGCTCAGCGCTGGAGGCCTTCCTGAGGCAGCGGGACCTGGAGGCTGCATACCGGGCCCTGACGCTGGGAGGCTGGATGGCCCACTACTTCCAGAGCCGGGGCCCGCGGCAGGAGGCTGCCCTCAAGACCCACGTGAGGGCACCCTTCCCTCCCCCCAGCCCGCAGCCCACCTGCCCGCATTACTTCCGTCTCCTCTGCCTGTCCCGGGCCCTCTTCCCTGTGGGGCAGGCCCCCTGCAGTCCAGGCTTCATGCCTGCAGCGCAACCCCCCAGACCCCCTGACTTCCTAGCCGTTGGGGGTCCCTCTGAGATGGAGTCCAACCTCTTCATTTGACAGATGAGGAAACTGAGGCCCTGAGAGGGGAAGTGAGTTCCCCGAGACCACCCAGCGAGTCAGTGGCAGAACAGGACTAGAACCCAGGAGAGAGAGGGCCAAGGACGACCCTGCCCCACCTCTCACCTCGCCCACCCCTCACCTCCCCCAGATCTATTGCTACCTCCGCGCCTTCCTGCCTGAAAGCGGCTTTACCATCTTGCCCTGTACCCGCTACTCCATGGAGACAAATGGAGCCAAGATTGTGTCTACCCGAGCTTGGTAAGGGGGCAGAACTGTTATCGGAGGGCCCCAGGCCTGATGGGAAGCTCCCCTTCCCAGGGCTGCTAGGAGAGAAGACCCCTGTCTCTCACAAGCAAGATCCTCGGAAAGAGGCGGGCACTGAGGCCATGAGGAGGCGGTTTCCTGCGAGGAGGGAGGCCCAGCCTGGTCCCGAGGACCCTCCTTGCCCACCGGTGCCTGGGGCTGCTGGGAGAGGGCTGCCGTTCTTCATCACAGCCTTGTAGCAGGCGCTGCTGGGGAAGGGGCAGGATGATGGGCAGGCCCTGCCGGTGGCCCACGGGGTGCGGGAAAGGCAGGTGGCAGCCGAGGAACACACAGGCATGGCCACAGCTGCCTGGTGCTTCAGCACTCGGGAATATTGAGTGTTCCCGGGAGCAAGGCCTAAGCTGAAGGGTCTGGTGGACCCGGGGCGTCCAGGCAGAAGGACCAGCTGTAGGAGGCCAGTGGCCAGAAGGAGTAGGACAGGAGACCCGAGGTGGGGGGAGCACGGCCCCTCCCCTGCAGTGCTGTGTCCCAGAGGCTAAGGGCATGAGCAGGGATGCCCAGCCCAGCAGGTGTACGGAAAGCGGTGGGTGGATTTGAGAGAACTGGGGGGCCCCGTCCCTGGCCGTGAAGGTGGGGGCGGGCACTGCGCACAGACCCGCACCCTGGCCTCTCGGCAGGAAGAAGAATGAGAAGCTGGAGCTGCTGGTGGGGTGCATAGCGGAGCTGCGGGAGGCGGACGAGGGGCTGCTGAGGGCAGGCGAGAACGACTTCAGCATCATGTACTCCACCCGCAAGCGCAGCGCACAGCTGTGGCTCGGCCCTGCTGCCTTCATCAACCACGGTGGGGGTGGGGCAGGCCTGGGAGGGGGCGGGGAGGGGGTGAGCCCACCCGCCCTCCCTGCTCACCCAGTCTCTTCTTGCCCCGCTCTGCCCCCAACTGGCTCCAGACTGCAAACCCAACTGCAAGGTGAGGCCTGGGGCTCCCACCCTGGGAGTGGGCTGTGGGACATGGGGGGCCTGGGGAGCGGCTTTCTGGTCAGTGACCAGCTGGAAACTGTCCCGCATCTTCCCATCTGACTTTTTTGAGGGGTGCTGTGGGGCGCTGTGGGCTTGTGCCTGGGGCTGTTGAGGGAAGGAGCTTTGGCTAGTCACTTGGGAAGCCGGGTTGCCACGCGCTGCCTGCTGGCGGCATTCTTCCCCCTGTAAACCTGCCCTGAGGGCGATGCTACTTTAGTGGGGTGGGTGGCGCTGAAACAGAAGTGCCCTTGCACCTGCCCCCGCCCCCCCACCTGGCAGGAAATGCCCTGTCTGGGTCTATGAGGGCAGGAGGCTGCACAGCTGCGATGCATCCACCTGGGGTAAGGCCCAAGAGAGCCCAAGGACAAGGACTTGGCAGGAGACTGTGGGAGTCAGGGCTCCAGGTACAGGGAGCGGCACAAAGTGGGGGCAGCCGGCAAGTGAGAGGCCTCCCTGGTTCTGTGGGGGGGCGCCTGGAGCACACAAGGAGAGCAGGGGAACGGAGGGGAGGCAGCTCCTGGGGGTGGACCCTGCCAAGTGGGCTGCGCCCGGCTGTCTGTGGGATCATGACGGGTCCAGAGCCAGCTCCAGAGTTAGAACTGGGTTTGGGGCCTGGCTGTGCCCAGCCCCGGCCCTGGTGTCCCTTCTCAGACGGGAGAGGGGAGAGCTCGCCCCTAGGGCTGATGTGAAGGTCCGGCGTTCCAGGCACACAGAGGCTGGTCAGTGTTCCCGTGACCGCTGGCCCCCAGTGCAGCCTCTGGGTGGGACACAGGACAAGGGGAGATGCCGTGAGGCTATGACGTGGGGAGGGCAGGCGGGAGGCGGCAGCCTGCTCTCTAGTGGAGCAGAACCGGGAAGCTGCCCGGCGTCAGGCGCTGGAGGAGGAGGAAGATTTTCCTAGGTGTTGATGGGAGACAGTACACGTCAGACTGGAGGGGCAGGAGGCATGGCAGGCACGGCAGCTCTGGCCTCCCATGCCAGGAGTGAGCTGGGCCCGCTGCCTGGGGCTCCGCGGTGTGGACAATGGGGCTTGGTGTGTGCGCTGGGTCGCAGGTGCTGTGGGCTCACAGGCAGGGGCGGGAGGCAGGGCGGCCTCACTGGCCGGTGTGGAACTGAGCAAGCGCTTGATTACAGGTGGACTCGGGATGGAGACGATGGCCACCAGATTTCTGCCCTTGGGTGGCAGTGGCCAGTTGGCCTGGAGGTGGGCAGGCAGGTGGCTGGTGAGGGCTGCACCTAGGTGTGTGTCGGGCTAGAGTGGACACATGGACAGGCAGGCAGGCGTCATGCTCCTCCAGGTGGGGTCACAGAGGCAGGAGCATGCCAGCCAGAGGGGTCTGGGGCTGCAGAGTGGACACAAGCCTTGGGGAAGGAGGGCACCCAAGTGAAGTAGGGCTGGAACCTCGTTTGCCAAGGTGCAGGCTGGCGGGGAGCAAGGGGGTGGGTTAGGGGCCAGAGGGGACCCAGCTTGGCCAAGCAGCCCAAGGAAGAACGCAGGGGGAGGGTCGCTGCCCGTCTCCAGGGTGGGGCAGTGTCGGGTTGGCCATCTCTTGCAGGGAGGGGTGGCAGCTGGCAGTGGGTAGTGATCGCTGGCGCTTTCGCGGGGCAGTGCTCACCCTGGGGCAGACTAGGGCTGCTGGCTGCACACCGGGCGCTGAGCAGCTGGCCCCCAGTTTGTGCCTGCAGATGGGAATGCTGCATGCGTGAAGGCGCTCCGGGACATCGAGCCAGGGGATGAGGTGACCTGCTTCTACGGCGATGGCTTCTTTGGTGAAAAGAACGAGCACTGTGAATGCTACACCTGCGAGAGGTGGGGAGAAGGTGGGGACACTGGCCGGGGTGGGCGGTTGCGGGGCAGCCTTGCCCAGAAGTGCATCCTCAGGGCCGGCCTCCCTCGTGGTCTCCCTCTGCCCCCAGGAGAGGTGAAGGCGCCTTCCGTTTGCGGCCTCGGGTGCCCATGCCACCCCGACCCCTGGACAAGTACGAGCTCCGCGAGACCAAGCAGAGGCTGCTGCAGGGTCTGGATGGCGCCCGGCGGGATCGGCTGCACCCTCGCTCCTGCACCCACCTGGCCCTGCTGGGCCGGGACCACTTCTGCGGTGAGCGTGGGCCTGGTGGGAGGGCGGGGGGTTCCTCTCCACCCCTCCACCCGTGCCCCACCTCTACCCTCATTCTTGGCCCCCCCCACACACAAGACTGCGTGGGTGAGCACCACTGTCCCCACGTCCCCCCACAGAGCCTGTGGGGGAGCAGCCTGAGCAGGCACTGCCCGCCTTCCAGAGGCCCTGCTCACACTGCCCCTTCTCTCCCCTCCCTGGCCTCCGCAGCCGCCTACCAGCCCCTGTGTGCCCTGCCCTGCGGCACCCGCCCTGACACCTCACCGCTCTGGCTCCAGTGGCTGCCCCAGCCCCAGCCCCAGCTCCGTGTCCGTCCCCGAAGGCGCCGACGCCCCCAGCCGCGACGGCCCCTGGCGCCCCCCATTTTTCGTGCTGCCCGCATCTCCCTGCACCGGTGGGGAGGCTGTGGCCCCCGCTGCTGCCTACGAGCAGAGGCCCTGGTGGCCCTGGGTCAGGTCCACAGTGCCCACTGGGCCCCTCAGCAAGACTGGCACTGGGCCCGGCGCTACGGGCTGCCTTTCGTGGTGCGTGTGGACCTGAGCCGTGTGGTCCCGCCCCCGCCTGGCGTTCCCTCCCACACCGGGCCTCCGGGCCCCGTCCCTATCCCCAAGCAGGCCCTGGCCTTCGCCCCCTTCTCCCCACCCAAGCGCCTGCGGCTAGTGGTCAGCCATGGCTCCATCGACTTGGATGTCAATGGTGAGGGACCATGATGGGCTGGGCAGGGAGGCCCCGGCCAGGGACGGAAGGACCCCTTCTAGGCCCGCAGCCTCCAGTTCTCCGGGACTCACCGACCTCCAGAGGGGGCTCTTGGACCTCCAGGAAGGAGCTGACCCTCAGCCCTAGCAGAGCTCTGACCCGGGAGTGGGGTTGGTGCAGACACCCCCAGGGGTCTGACCCCTGACCCTTTGTGACTGCTGACCCCTGAGCCACCTCCACCCCAGCAGGGAGCCCTGGCCACTGCTGCCCCCCAGCCCCAGCCTCAGGACTGAAGGAGCCGGTCCCTTCCCCACCTACCTTCTGCCCAGGGAGCAAAGCCATAAGGGGTGAGGCCACCCTGTGGCATCTCCCCGGAAGTCCAGGTCTCGGGAGGGAGGGGAAGTGACTTTTGGTGGGGGAGTGCCCTCAGGAGGGGCGTGCTTGCTCCCCGCTCTGTGACTGACTCGGTGGGGGCAAGGTGGGGCATGTCGGCAGGCAGGCCCTCCAGCCCCGTGGGTCTCAGGGAGGCCGGTGCGACCTCATCTTCCTCATGGTGCTATCCCTGGTGCTATTGGGGTGTGGGGGCTCCCTCCCCCACACCAGAACGGGGTATGTTGGAGGATTGGAAGCACTTGAACTTTCTATTTTATTAAAACCTTGTTATACACAGCACCCTGGGAACCTTTTCATTTTTATTTATGTTTTCAGGGGATGTCTGCCGGGTGAGCCCCTCAACCTTGCTGGGGTGACAAGACCCGGAGGAGACAGCCCAGCTTGAGGGCCCTGAGGGCTTTGGGCAGGTGAAAGGTGATACACAGAAGATGCAGAGGCCAGAATCCCGTCGCCTTGCAAATGGTGCTCATAGAGGATGCCCTCAGACCATCCTCGCGCATGGCATCACACACTTCTGGGGCCAGGTGTGGGCTCAGGCCCGTCGCCTCCAGAAAGTTCACCCAGCAGTTGGCAAGGCCAGGCCGTGCGCATGAGGGAGTGACCCACGGTTGAGGGTGGCCTACTTATGCAATGGGCCTGGGCTGCCTGGCGCTAGACACACTTTTCACTTTAAAACTTTATTTCATTCACATATGGCCTTTTTGGTCCCTTTGAGAACAAAGTATCTTCATTCCATGCAAATCCTACTGAACACTGGCCATTTTCTCTGTCCCATGTTAAAACTGAAGGAGAGAGCTGGCTGACACAGAGCCCCTGAAGAACTTGCGCCTCTCAGCAGGTTGAAATCAGGCGCCATCGCCAGGGAATCTAGGCAAAGATGACAGCAGAGCAAGGTTTCTCCGGAGCCTGCCTTGAGGGCCCCAGGCACGCCCTGAAATCCTGTTGAGAGGTGGTAACTGCATGTTCACATGTGCAGCCTCTTGCAGGGAAAGGGTTTAGAGCCTTCATCCAATTCCCAGTGTCTGGAACCAAAAGCAATTGTTAGAAACCAGTGGTACGGGTCTGGCCCTTGACAACGCACCCTCCTGAGCAGCTGCCTGTGCTGTAGGCCTCCAACTGGGTGCTAATCGCACCTGCTCAGTTCTGATAACTGTCCCTGGACAGTGCCGGGTGTCCCTGTGGGGGCCAAAGCCAGCCCCCACTGGGCTCTCCTGACAGGATGACATGGGAGGAAGACCTCTGGGACCATAGCAGCTGCCACTAACGTGCTGTCACACATCCTGGCATCAGTCTTCACAACAGCCCTCCCAGGGCTGCCAGGTTCCTGGTAGATGGAGCCCCAGCCAGTGTAGGAAAGTACAAACAACTCGTGTGAGCTGCAGTGAGCTGGCCATACTTGAGGACATCTGGGTACAGGTGGGCTGAGCTTCAGGAGCTCACCTTGCGAGCCCAGGGCAGGGGCAGGCCAAAGGGTCGGTGCAGCAAAGGAAGTGGGGAAGGTGGCTGGAAGGCAGAGGAAGGGGAGCTGTAAGGATCAGAACTGACTGCAGCCCACGTGCCCGGGCAGCAGCCTTCCCTGAAGCGCTCTGCTTTCTCTCTGGTGGCCAGGAGAGCAACAGGACGTCCGGACAGGGCACCGCGGTCCTGAACCGTTTCTCCCCGTGAGTGCTCTCTCACCCTTTTACCCTGCACACGGTTTGACCAGAAGCTTGCAGGAGCTCCAGGCCAGTCGGTGGGGTTGGTCGCCCTGGGGCTACTGACCCAGGAGGGCAGCTGGCGGGGGTCGTTCCCACCACCCCTGTGGTATTGGGCGCCAGAATTGGGCTGACACGCTGATTCTGAGTGCCCCAGTGAGGCCGCACTCCTGACCTGTATGTAACTCAGTGTCATCCCGCCTGCAGCCCTGTGAGGTGTGGGTATTGTTATCCCTATTTTAGATGGAGACACCGGGGTGCCGAGGGCTTAGGGCACTGGGCTGGAGCCACGTGGCTGGCAAGCTGCAGGGCTGGGATTTGAACCCTCTCTCAGCACTCATCAGGCTCAGATCTTCAATGGAAAGGGGCAGATGCCGGAAGAGAGGTGGCTGGAGCTGTGCCCACAGGGAGCCAAAGGAGACCCTGCTGATCCACAGCGGCTTCCACGGGGTGGTAAGTGCACAGGAGGAGGGGAGAGGGAGAGCGGGGGCTCCGTGGGTTCAGGGGACGAGGGCGAAGGGCAGCCTGGAGGCCTTGTGACTGAAGGAAGAGCCCGGAGCGCATCTGTAGCCTGGGAAGGGGCTGGTTCTGAGGCAGGGACCACAGCAGGTGGGGAGGAGGCCAGATGGCTTTAGGCTGAGAGGATGGGGCGGCTGGGGGAGGAGGGGGAGGGAGAGGAGGGCCAAGGGGGGAAAAGAGGGTTGGGGGTGGAGCAGATGTGCAGGTTTGGGAGGGAGAAGCCAGCCGAGTGGCTTCTGCTCCCTCCAACCTGGGAGGCCGCTGTGGGGCAGGCAGGCTGCCGCTGTGGTTTCAGGGCGCAGACAGGCAGAGCTGGCTGAGGAGCGTGGGAGCTGGGTCCAGAGCCAGCCTGGGGCCTGGAGCCTGCAGCGATGCTGAGCAGGCTGACTGGAGGTCAGGGGGGTCTGGCCCTCCTTACGCTCAGGTGTCCATAGGGCAGTGGTAGCCAGGAGTATGGAGATGTGCCACAAACGGTCAAGGGCTGATGGCGGCGAGGATCCCGGGCCTGATTGGGGAAGGACAACGACTGGAAAGAAGAGGCACCCCAGAGAGGCCAACAGGCCGGCCGTGGCTGCACGTGTGTCGGGCTGTGCCACCTGGGTGACCTCACCGAGTGTCAGACAGCATCAGCCCCATTCTGGGACTCAGAGGGCAGCCTTACCCCAGTGGCCCTGCTGGCTGTCCCTCCCCTCCTGTGACTTCCTCACTGCCCCCTGCCTCTCAGGTTGTGGTCCGAGGAGGGGATGCGGGTGCCAAGGTTGGTGGGAGCCGTCCTGGGAGCCGGCAGGGCAGTAGCTGCCCTGGGTGGGGTGTTGTAGGCAGCACCGAGGGCTGTGGGCACAGGTCCTGCGGGGGGCTGGGGGAACAGGAGGGAGCCAGCCCTCCCAGTAATGGGACTCAGCACCGTCTTGATATACAGCTGGGGAAATGGGGAAACTGAGATACATGCAGGTTAAGAGGCTTGTCCAGGGTTACCCAGCAAGTTGTCATGATTAGAAACAGCCACTTTTGAACCTTGGGTTGAATCTGGCCTTGTGAGACAGCTTCAGGCAGAAACTGCCAAATCCCACGTTCCCATGCCCGGGACACATGCTTGTCTGGGGCATGGCCAGACTGGGTGGGACCTGGGCTCCACGCTCAGCCTGGGGCTCGGGGGAGACGGCTGGACCGGGACACTCCAAGGGCTGTCCGGAATCAGAACAAATCGCAGTACTGTGGCCTCTGAGCCTGGCTGAGGACAGGCCCAGCACCAGGATGCAAAGGACAATTCAGACAGGAGCTCTGAGGTCCTGGAGAGCTCAGGCCGGAGCCGGTTGGCAGGAGAAACATGTGTCTGGGGGCATGCCGCCAGCGTCATTAGGGAACAGAGAGAGCTGCCCCCCCGCTGGAGTGGGGCTGGGGGCTTGAAAGGCCAGAGGTCAGTGCAGAGGACCCTGCTGGAAAGGGCTTCTGTGATGGAACAGGGGTGTCCTGAGAGGCAAATGGAGGCGGACGGGGGAGGAAAGTAAGGGAGAGTGGAGGGGAGCCGGGAAGGCCCAGAGCAGGGGTGTCGGGTGGGGAGGGCGTCAGGCGCCAGATCCACACCCTCCCGCTTGGGAAGGGCTGGACGGCGGGGCAGGGCAGGAGGCCCCGGAGGAGGCTGGGGTCGCTCTCCCTCCGTCAGCCCCAAGGGCCCTCCCCGCGCCGCCCTCACCTTCGGAACCCGCGGTGTCTGCAGCGGGGCAGACACAGGAGGACCGCCCCGCTCCGACCGGACAGCAGGGAGAAAGGTCAGCCGCGGCAGAGCTTTATTTGTGGCAGCGGCTGGGGGAGGGGGCGGCCGGGGCCGCGTCGCTGGGGCACTAGAGAGAAGGCGCGCGGCGGCCACTGGGGCTGCTCCGCCGAGCTCAGACCATCAGTTTGCCCGCGAAGGTCCCTTCCGTGGTCTGCTCGTCCAGCGCTGCCCCTGGGGAGGGGCGCAGGGAGGAGCGGGGCGGGCTGAGCACAGCCGGGCCTCCCCCGCGCCCGGCCTGCCGCCCGCGCCCCTCGCCTGCTCACCCAGTTCTTCGGCTACAGCGAGCGGAACACGCGAAAGTAATCCTCGCAGGACTGCGCGCTCTTCCCGCGCCGGTTCAGGCTCTCGACGCAGCGGTGGTAGTCTGCCGGGTGGGGCGGGGCCGCGCCGAAGCCCCGCCCGCCCCCAGCCAGGCTCCACTGCCTGCAGGCGAGGCCCTGCCCCTCCCGACCTCTCCCAGCCCTCCAGGACTTGGTCACGGACCTCCAGAGCAGGCTCCGCTCCTCCCAGTTCCGGCCCCACCCCATTCCCAGCCGGGCCCCGGCTCCCCTTCGCCCCGCCCCCCAGGACTCAGTCACGCCCCCAGGACAGGTCCCGCCCACTACCGACCCTGCCTCCCTCGCCGTGACCGGGCCCATACCTCTGCGGGTCAGGCCCCGTCCGTCCCGCTCCACCTCGGTCCCGCTCCCGAGGACCGGACCGGCCCCTCGCCCCGCCCCCCGCGGTGAGACCCCGCCCCTGCCAGCCGGGCCCCGCCCCCACGGCGAGTCAGCGGCCCTCCTCGCGTCTTGGGAGCGCGCCTCTTCCAGCCTCTCCTGGGCGGCCCCCGCACCCTCACTATGGCCCACGAGGCCTCACCCAGGAAGTTCTGGTAGCAGTTGCGTGTCTGGTTCTGGTTAGGGAAGAGAGGGTCAAAGGGTGGAGTTGAGAATCTCCCTGTGGGAGGCTTCTGAGAGTCAGTATCCTACATCCACCAAGGTGACAGCTCCCGCGGAGAGGGGGGCTCCGTGGGGCCCAAAGGGCGCCCCTCGCTCGGACCCACACCCTGGTCCCACCCGCCCTGCCCTCACCAGGCTGATGCCAGGGCGTCACTGGGTCAGGGATGCCCATGGCTCCGTTGGGGAATGCCCCTCGCTTCTGAGTCTCAGGGGTCCCAGCCCTATGCGGACTGGCTGCGACCCCCGGAGCCCCAGCCAGTGGGGGGCCCTGCGCTGCAGGGGCCGCTCCGGGGCGTGTGGACCCCCACCGCTCCTCCCTTCCTCTGCCCACTCCCGGCGCCCGCCTTGGCCTCGCGCACACGCAGGGTCCCAGGCGCGACTTTCGCCGAGTCTCAGACTTAGACTTTTAATCTGTGCGAAACTGGGCCACCTCGGGCTCGCTCCCGCCCCAGCCCCCGCCCCCCAGTGTATAAACATATAGATAGCTCTGGTCTGTGCAGAGAGGGTGCACCCCGCCTGGCCTTTTCAGCGCCCCGCTTCTTCCAGTGGAGACGCACAGCATCCGGCGGCTTGTGGGAAGAGGGAAGGGTGCGGGTGGGGTCTGGGTCCGCGACTCCAGTGCCACGTCTCAGGAGGGCGAGTCTAAGGGGTCTCAGGGGCTACTTGGCTACCCTGGACTCCTCTGCACGCTCTGGAGACTGAGGCTGAGTCCCCACATTCCTCTCCTCAAGGCGCCGGGGTTCCTCCAGTCTGGAGAGAGAGAAAGCCAGAGGGGGCTTTGGGGCCGGCGGGGAGTGTTGGGTGAGCAGCCGGATGAGGGCGGCTGCTCTAGGGGCGTCAGGTTCCCACCACCTGACCCCAGCTCCCCGTGTACCTCCCGGGTCTCTCTGCCTCTTCCCTCCATATCATTAAGCCCGACTCTGGACCTTCACACCAACATCCAAAATGCTTCAGTCCACCTTTCCTGGTAAGGAGCCCTCTGGTGGGCCCGCTTCCCACACCAGCTCCCTCCCTGTCCCTCTTCCCCGCCCGCAAACTTTTTGCAAAGAGCTGGTCTACACCTCCCCTTCTCTCAGATCCCCTTCTTTACATGTGCATGTGTGTATGTATATAGTGAGAAGAGACACATCACAGAAGTGTGACCACTGTAACCTTTTCATCAACATTACACATGTTTATAAGGGGTAACTGCCACTCTACCTGGTTGCAGGCGTTTTCCACCACCCCAAACAGAAACCCTAGCAGTGCAGCAGTCCCTCTCTGCTCTTCCCATCCCTCCCAGCTCCTGGTAACCACCAGTTGGCTTCCACCTACTCTGGAAGTTGCATACACGGAATCATACACTATGTGGCCTTTGGTGTCTGCTTCCCCTCACTCAGCACGGGGTTTCCCAGGATCGCAGCACCATGACCTTGGTTCCCTATGCTCTCTTAGGCCTGCCTCATTCAGGTCACCATTCCCACCATGTCACCTCCTTGCCCATAAATCCAGGGTCCGGTTTCAGTCCTGTCTCCCTTGCCCTGAACATGGCAGCTCCCTCTCCAGCCCTCCCCATTGCCTTCACTTGGCCTGCAGGCTGTGCCGGTGTCTCCTTGCTCCGAGCTGTTTCCCTTGGACTCTTCCTCTATCTACACTCGCTGACTGGGGACCTCCTTCAGTCTGGTAGCTTGAAGCAACTGTGCACGAGCCAATGACTCCCCTCATCACTTCAGAACTCGAGTATCCAGCTGCCTACCCACGTCTTCACCTGCCATCTTAGAACCAACATGTCCGAACAGAATTCCTGACCTCCTCCCCAATGCTGACTCCACTCACAGCCTCCCCAACTGCTGCCAACAGCCAGCACGTCTTCCTGTGTCTAACACCCAGTGTCACCCTCAAAGCCACTTCACCATGTCCAACAAAGTATAAAGTATCTCCAGAACCCAGCTGCTTCTCAGCACCTCTGTCACCACCCTTGTCCAAACCACCTTCATATCATGGCTGGGTCACTGCAACTGCCCAACCCCTCTCCTCCCAGCTTACACCTTTGCCCACTTTACCTTCTCTACACTTAAGCCAGAGGGACCGCTTTCTAACAAATATCAGTTCCACCATTCTGCTGAAAACCCTCTGGCCCACTCAGCATAAAGCCAAAGTCTTGGAAACAGCCCACGCAGTCACTGCCACTCTGCAGTGCCCTGGAGCTTGCAGCTGGTCCAGCACATTGGGCACACCCCTGCCTCAGGGCCTTTGCAGTGGCTGTTCCTTCTGCAGTGAACACATTTTTCCCAGATGTGCACATGCTTCCTCCCTCACCTCCTTCAGGTCTTTACACAAATGACAGCAGCTTACTGAGGCACCCCTGGGCCATCCCACCCAGTACTGGAGCCTAGCTGCCCCCACTCCTAATCTCCCCTATCCTGCTCTTTTTCCCACAGAACTACAACCTTCTGTCTTACAAATAATTCATTTATTTTTCCTGTCAGAGTTCCCAGCTCCAGTGCTCCTGACGTTTTGTGTGGGACCACTCTTTGCTGTGGGACTGTCCTGTGCACTATGGGATGTTCACCAGCATCCCTGGGCTCCTCCAGCAAGATTCCAGGGTCACATCCTCCCCAGACTGCATGGTGCTGTATCCCTAGTGCCTACAACAATGTCTGGCACATAGCTGACACTCACTATATATTAAGTGCACAAGCAAACGTGGAGAGAGGGAACGATTGTCTCTCCCTTGCAGGTAACGGAGTCAATGGCACATGTTAGCCATCACCCCAAATACCTGCGCAGAGTGGAGCCGCCCAGCTCCTCTTCTGTAGTGTCCTCCTTGGGGGCTGTGTCTCCCATATTCTCAGTTTCCAAGAGCGTGTGTGAAAGAATCTCCAAAGATAACCCTGCTGTGGCCGTGATGTGCTGGTCTGTCATCTCCGCGGTCTCTTGAGATCCTCCCCTGGGCTGTCGGCATACCTCGGCCTCCATCTTTGAGACGGGGATCAGCGAGACAGGTAACTCAGATACATCGTCCCACCTCCATGCAGGCAGAAGGGTGGGAACTGGGAGACTCTGTCCATCTTTGGGCTGCTGGAGGCGCACCTGGAGTTCGGGGCACTTTGGAAGTCCCCATCAGGCCCCAGGGAAGCTCTTCCACCTCCACCTCCACCCAGGGACACATGCTCTCCTCCACCCATGGGTGCATGAACCCGTTCGTCCAGGCACTTAGGAGGGGCCTCTCCATGACTGCCATTGCTGTCCCCTCCAGCAAGGACACCTGGCTGGGGCTGAGGGGCCCTGTGCCCACAGTTGACACGGCAGACACTGGCGGGGGGGTGCTGAGAACCAGGAGGGCAGACTGACCACCGCTAGTCTCGAGGGCAGCTCCTGCGAGTCGGCCATGAACATCAGCTTGGCAAGGGCAAGACTCTCCACCAAGAAGGGCCTCCTGTGCTCCTGCAGGACCTCCTCAACAGCTGGCTCCTGGGTCTTGACCCTCTTCTGCTGCCCCACCTCCTTGGATTTAAAGCCAGGTATGCCCACAGGTATCTCCTCCTTCACCCTGTGGACCCTATCCTCCAACCTGCCCCTGCCCTTCGAGCTGTCCAGGCTGATCTCCTGGGTTTTGCTGGTCAGGACCTCCTCCGACTCCCTCTGGGTGGTAGGGGAAGGCAGCTCCAGGAATGTCTTCTGAGTCCTCGCCTCTACTGTGTATGTCTCCTGGGTGCCCACCAGCATCCTGGGTGACTCTGGCTTCCCTACAAGCCCGCTTCTCTCAAGCACACCCGCTCCATGACTCTCCATGGGCAACATGCCCAAATTGGCAGGGTCCAGTGTTAACTGGTATTGTGTAAGTGAGGTCAGAGCCTTCTGGGAGGGGGTTGGAATGCACGAAGATTTCCTGTTTGGGACGGCTTTTGAGAATGCAGGTGGGGTCTTCCAAAATGGGGCAGGTAAGTCTGGGGCCTTCTGGGAAATAGCTGTAACAGGCGGGGCCTTCCGAGATGGGACCGGTGCGACTGGGGCCTTCTGGGGAGTAGCAGGTACAGCAGGGGCCTCGTGGGATGGGGCATGTGCAGCCGAGACCTTGCGAGAGTGGTCAAGGAGGAATGGAACCTTCCGAGAGGCAGCAGGGACCGTGGATGGGATCTTCTGGGAGGGTGGAGGCTGTAGCCTCTGTGCGGAGCCCAGAGGCCTGGCTTTGTCAGTGCGCCTGGGGAAGGAGCAGGAGGGGGCAGAGAGGTAGAGGTGTGGAGAGGTGGCGCGTGGGCAGAGAGGGGAAGAAGACAAGGTTCTGGATTCAGGGTTCATCCGTTCTTCAGTGTCCTTCTGCCACAGGTGCTTATCCAGGTGGTCACAGGAGCCCAGCAAGGGAGCATCATGGCCATTGTCTGAGATACAGTGTATCAGGGTCTCAACGAACCCTCCCCGGACCATGCCCACGTGGCAATCAGATGAGCAAACCTGTAGGTGGATGGAGGGGAGAGGAAGGATGGTCAGAGCCAAGGGAGACGCACAGACCCAGGCCTCTAGCCCTTCTCCCTCGGGCCCAGGCCCCCCCCAGCCTCCCCCTCGGGCCCAGGGCCCCCCCCCAGCCTCCCCCTCAGACCCGGCCCCCCCAGTCTCCCCCTCAGGCCCAGGGCCACCCCCCCAGCCTCCCCCTCAGGCCCAGGGCCCTCCCCCAGCCTCCCCCTCGGGCCCAGGGCCCTCCCCCAGCCTCCCCCTCGGGCCCGGGCCCCCTCCCCGAGCTGCCCCTCAGGCCCGGGGCCCTCCCCGAACATACAGCTGCCTGGGGGGAAGGCTGCACGTGGTCGGTGGTATTGGACATGACGCCGGAGGTGGTCCTGCTGGTGATGCTGGGTTTCTCTGAGTGGGGAGAAGGCTGGCTGAGGCCCCAGGGGAAGGGCCAGAGCTTTGAGGGGCCACACACAGAGGCAGAGGGAGGGGCCGCACATACTGGAAGCCTGGATCTGGGCCTGAGGTCGGTTGAGGGAGACACCTGGCTGGGACCTGGAGGGGAACGTGGTGTGAGCTGGGTGGGCTCTACACCAAGGCCCCCCTCCTCCAGCCCCGACCCGTGACAAGGACCCAGGCCGACCTCTTTTCTGCGGATTTCTTTCTAGTATCATGCTTCAACTTCGACCAGATGAGGGGCATGGAGTCGCCCACAGCCTGAGACCTGACTGGCTGCTTGAGCGGCTGGCGGTGGGAGGAGGGAGAGGGGGGCAGTCAGGAGACACAGCCTGCAGCCCACCCCCCAGGCCTGCCAGAGCCTGCTCACCTTGGCCTTCTTCTGCCTCTGAGATGCCTGCATCTTATAAGGAAAGGTGGGCTCGATAATCATGACTGGAAAGAGAGGGGGTGACCTTGAGTCTGGGACCCCTATGCGGAGGGTATGGGGAGAGGCCTAGAGGAGACTCGTGCAGGTCTCAGCCAACAGGTGGGGAAGAGCTCTGTGCTGCCCAGTGAGGATAGGTGCTGGACACCTGTGCCGGCTCACCTGAGCGTCTGCTCTGGGGCTGGTCCTGAGGACAGGGAGGGGTCAGTCAGGACGGCCGACTTGCTCCTGCTCCAGTATCCCCATTACCTACCCAGTTTGGAGTCCAGAATCCAGCCCCTCCGTGAGACCCAGGAGCCGAGGCTCCCAACTCCTCCCCACTCAGCCCCATTCCTGGCAACCCTGGGCTTCAGGGGTAGTCCTGACTCCCTCTGGAATCTAGAGGCCACTGGGGGTCGTAGGGTCAGAGCATCACCTGGAGACTCCAGGTGGAGGCTGGAGTTGCTGTCCTGGCCAGGTTGCTGAGCGGGGTTGGCAGGGTCCTGGGGGTCCAGGTGTCAGCAGGCTCCCAGAGCAGGTTGATGAGGCGGACCCAGCAGTCAAACAGGAAGCCCCCCTCCCCGTCAGGGGCGTCCAGCTCCAGGTAGTAATAACGGCCTGTGACCAGGTGCAGCTTCAGGCGCCGGGTGGACAGGTCGTGGACACAGAGGTGGGACAGGTCCAGAGGGATCATCCTGGGGGAGGCAGGAGTTGGAGGCCGCAGGGCAGGTGGGGGGGGCGGGGCCGCTGGGGATGGCAGGATGGAGGCACCTGGTGAGGGCGAGGCTGGAGCCCTCCCTGCCCTCGGAGGGCTGAGCGATGAGCAGGATGTCTGGCAGCCCCAGGGCCGGCAGGGAGGCGGCCACGCCCATGGTCACGCGGTGGGTTTTGTGGTGAATGCAGACTGGGGCCCCTCGATTGGTCACCTGGGGGGCCAGGGAGAGGGGCTGGGACTCCTTCTTTCTCTGGCACTCCTCTCGCACCCCCAGCATGAGCCCCCCCACCCGAGCCCCCAGCTGCTTGATATCCCCCAGGGCCCCAGTCCCTTAGCCCAGGGTGTCTCGCTCCCTCCTGGCCCTCTCTGCCTCCAGGGTGCTGGTAACTGGGGACCTGGACAAAGTTGCTCTCGAACATGGGCAGCGGGCAGAAGGGCAGGTACTCGCCCTTCTGGAGGGCCTTCTGCAGCTCGCCCAGAGTGGGGACCCATGCTGGGGGTCCCTGGCATGTCTCCATGCCCTTGATGTTCCAAAGCCAGTTCATGGTGGCCGTAGAAAGGGTGGGTCATCTGTGACGTGGAGAGCCAGCCAGTGCCCTGGTGTGTGGCCTGCCCAGACCCCCACCAGCCACAAGCCCTGGCCCTTTGGGCTTCAGAGATGGCCGAGCTCAGTGGTCCTAGGGGGTGGAGCTTCCCCAGGGCCTGGCCATGGCCCTTTGTGGGTGGTCAGCCCTGGCCTGGGGGAGGGGCCTACGAGGGGCGGGCTTTGTGACCTCATCGGATACAGTGGACTCTTCCTGACAGCGCTCTGGGGGCCCCAGGCTCCCTTCAGCAGGAACGTGGCCTGGAGTCTTGAGGGCTGGAGTGGAGGAATCCGAGGCCAGCTAGTGAAAACACACCTGCGCAGGTCTGTCCAGGATATTGTCAATGGATAATTAACCAAAGGGTTTCTGACTCTTAAGAGGGGAGGCCACTGGCCCTTCTCTAGACCTTGAGTGAGACCCGTAACCCTACTGGGCGGCTTCAGTTTCCCCACATTTAACACATTCGTGTCCATGACGACGGTGGTGTGGCTACACAGTGGTTACAAAGAAAGGGACACATGCTTTGGAATGAGCCAGACCTTTGGCAGAGTCATACTTTTCTCTCCCTAACTGCTTGACCTAGAACAACAAGCACTCTGAGCCTCAGTTTCCCCACCTATGACATGGGGAACATGGGAGGATCTATGGGATCATGTAAGCAAAACTTCACACTTACGGTGTGGCCAAGAGTGGGTGCTCAGTGAACGGTCATTCTGTACCTTTCTGAGGGCTTATTGTTTGTGTAAGGGCTGGAATGGGGGACCAGTATTCTGTCATTCTAAAAATAGTGTTTATTTTTTAACATGTGTCATGCAAAATACATGGTCATTGTAGAAATTCTGGAAAATACAGACAAGCACAAATAATAAAAGTCACCTTAATCCCACCCCCTACCTTCCACACTGAGGTGGCTGTTGTCAACGTTTTGGTGTATTTCCTTCTAGGACTTAAATAAAATTATATAGATAGATAGAGATTATATAAAAAAAATTATAGAGGGGGGAATGGGGAAACAAAATGGGGAGCACAGCAGTCTGTAGTCTTTCTGCATCTAAGTCAGCCTCTGTACACAGCTCTTGGGGTTCCATCGTCACACGGATGTGCTGTAGTTATTTAACCATCTCCCACCGTTGGACATCTAAGTTGTTGCCAACTTGTGAACATCGCCATCATGAACAACCTTGAATTGCAGCTTTGTCTTGTACAAATACTGTCAGTCATAGGATGACCTTCTGGAACCTTCCACGAAATATTTATTTAGTGCCTATGAAGTGCTGAGCACCGGATGAGGCTCAGACCCTGCTCCCCAGAGCTTATGGTCTCTGGGAGACCAACAGTGTCCTGTCCACTGCCCTGCCCTACTCAGGGTCCCTACCTCCCCCAGCCCCAGGGACGGCAGCATCCCAGACCCCAGTCCTCAGAGAAATGGCCTCTAAGTGATGTGTATGACAAATTTAATCCCCCTTCTCCATATCACAAAGGTTTCTCACATTTTTGTACAAAAAACCCCAGGCCTCCTTGTCCCCTCCCTCCCCATCCCAGCACAGAAAGTAATTGTTTAATAAATAAAATATGCTCCTGTCCAGGCCCAGAGCAGCGGGGGCCAGGGAGACACTGTGGCCAGACTTCTTAGAGACCCAAGAATCTGGGACCCCAGTTCCCTCCTCTTGGGGACCCCAAGTACCCCTGTGTCCCTGTCTGGCTCCTTAAATAAATAAGTATAAATAAGGCACGGATGCCCCCCGGCCCCACCAGGTCTCCTGGAGGGATGGTCTCTAACTGGGGGAGAGAATGGGGGAGGGATCCTCTGGCTGCCATGGCCCCAGTCCCAAAATAAATAAATAAATAAGATGTGGCGGGAAGAACACAGACAGATGCAGATGGCTCCAGAGGGGGGGATCACAGCCGAGTCTTCAGCAGCAGCAAGCCCCGCACAGCCCAGTCGAGCGTCAGGTGCAGCCCCCCGAGAATGGCGTGGGCTGCCCTGATGCCTCCCCAGGCTGAGGTTGGGGGGGCCAGTGGTGGAGCTGGAGGGTCTGGGGGCACCTGGGGCAGAGCCAGGCGGGACATCTGTTGGGAGAGGACAGAGGTTAGCAGCAGGTTGGGGGTGCAGCAGGGGTCAGGGAAGGTGTGTCTGGAGCCTCAGTGGCATCAGGATTAGGGGGACCAGGCTGCATGTTTCCAGAGGGTCTCTGGCCTGTGGGTCAGGTTTACTCAGCAGGTTGGCCCAGAAGGTGGACGCTGGGGCTGAAAGGGGGGTTCTTGAGGCCGGGGTTCCACAGCCAAGCTCAGGGGGTAAGGGTGAGGTCTGTAGAACTGGGTTCTACAGATGAGGCCTGGGGGCTGGGAGGCGTAAGTCTCAGCACTGGCAGCTGCATTTGAGACCCATAGTCTCTGGGGTCAGGGTCAGGAACTAGGGTCTGGGGTTTTGGAAATCAGGGTTTTGGGGTCTTCAGGGCTCACAACTGGGATCTGAGGTCTTGGGGACTCCAGGGTCTGGGGTCTTCTAGTTTGAGATCTCAGGGTCTGGTTTCTTGAGGTCTGGGGTTGGCGAGGCCAGGATCTCCAGGGTGGCTTTGGGTCAGGGTCTGGCATCTCGGGGTCTGGGACCTTGAGGTCTCAAGATCTCAGGGGTGGGATCTTGGGGGCTCAGGGTCTGGAGGTTCAGAGTTTCTGGGGAGTGAGGTCCAGAACCCTCATGTTCTTGGAGTCAGGGTCTCTGAGTTGTCAGGGTGAGGGTTTAGTGTCTGGTAGGATATTGGAGTCTGGGGCCTCCGTCTCAGGGCCATGGGGTCTTAGGAACACCGGGCAAGCGTCTCAGGGCAGGCCTGGGGCCTGGGGTCTTGGGCTGTCAGGCCTCAGAGCTGGGTGTCATACCAGGAGCTGTAGCCGGCGCAGCAGTCGGTCCAGCCGGGCCTGCAGAGCTCCCAGCTCCGGCTCCAGGATCCGCAGAGAAGGGCCACTTGCCCGACGAAGCCACTGAACGTGCCTCAGATACGAGAGCAGGTCTGCCCGAAGTCTGGTCAGCACACCTGGGAGCTGGGGGCAGGGCGGGATGTCAAGGAGCGCCTGGCACATGCCTGCTCCGGTCTGCTGCCCCCAGTGCCCTCCACTGCCCAGCTTCGCCTCCAGCCATCTCCCCACCCCTTACCTGCAGAGCCCCCAGTGCCCCTGCACTCATGGCCAAGGTGGGAAGGGAGTCCAGGCTGTGGTCCCCGTCAGCTGGGAATTTGTCTCTCTGGAGGAAGAAGCCATGAGGGAGGCCCTGCCCAGCTCCAAGGGTCCCTCCGTCCCCATCACAGGCCCCAGACTCGTCCCTCTCCTCGTCTCCGCCACCGTGGTAGCCCAGGAGCCCTCCCCACCCTCGGTCCTGGCCCCAGCCCATCCCCACAGTCGCTCCTACCAGCTGTGCAGCCAGCTGCCGAGTGTCGGCCAGGAGGGAACGGGTCAGGAGCACGGTGCTGTCCAGCTCAGCCCGAGGGTCTGGGGAGGTTCGAGGCGGGCCCGGTGGCGGCCCTGGGGCAGCAGCTCTATCTGGCCACAGGCTCAGTGCGGCCAGGATCAGGCAGCAAACACCTGGGACAGGAGCAGGCAGAGGACTCAGGCTGGAGCCACGGGTCTGCGGGAGGAGGGCTGCGCCCTGGGCTTCTGAGTGTGGGGACGGGGTGACTGGGGGCCTGGACTCCTGAGTGTGGGGACGGGGTGACTGGGGCCCTGGGCTCCTGAGTGTGGGGACGGGGTGACTGGGGCCCTGGGCTCCTGAGTGTGGGGACGGGGTGACTGGGGCCCTGGACTCCTGAGTGTGGGGACGGGGTGACTGGGGCCCTGGACTCCTGAGTGTGGGGACGGGGTGACTGGGGGCCTGGGCTCCTGGGTCTGGGCGGGGAGGGCGGGTGGTCTGGAGTCCCCCGGGTGGAGCGCGCGGGGAAGGTCGCAGGCCCGGGCGGGCTTCCCGCTCCCTCACCGGCTCTGGCTGCCCCGCCCGTCGGAGCAGACGCGGCCCCGGGCGGGTAGACGGGCCGGGCGTCTCCCGTCCGCCCCCGGACGCCGGAATCTGGGCCCCGGGGCGGGGCATGAGGGGGAGGCACAGGCCAGAACCTGCCCCCTCCCCGGGCCCCGGGAGCCCGAGGCGGACCGAGACAGGGCGAGGACACCGGACAGAGACAGGGGTGCCGGCCTCCCCGTGGACACCCTCGTCAGCCCGCGGAGGCGCTCGGCCCGCCCGGGCCGGGATGCCGGGCGCACCTGGGCGGAGCGGGGCCGGGACGCGGGAGCGGCGGGGGTCCCGCCCGCGGCGTCCCAGCCGCCCATCCCCCAGCCGCCCCGCCCACCCGGCCGCCACGACCAATCAGCGTCCCCCGGGCCTCCCCGCTCCCGCATCACGCCCCCAGCCCGCCCCCTGGCCCTCGCGGCCGCCGTCTGTCCGTCCGTCGGCATCTGTCTGGCTCTCCCCAGCTGTCTGCACCCCTGTCTCCGTCCTCCGCTTGGCGGGGCTCGGTGCCCTGGGCTTGCTCACCCGCTTGGGCTCCCCGCCTCAGTTTCCCTCCCGGAGCCTCCCGGTCGGGGTCCCCGCAGTCTGAGGCTCTTGTCCCCGCTGACCCCCAGGGGCCCCGGGCCCTTTGTCACCTCCAGGCCTTTGTCGCTCTGCCTCGGCTGTGGCTCCCTTGGCCTAGTCCCTCTTGCTTCTTGCTGCCCTGTCCCTGTCGCCGTCCCTCATCCGTCCAGCCCTCGCTCTCTGCGCGTCCCTCCTCCAGGCCGCCCGCCTGGCCTGCATCTCCTCTCCTCTCCCTCCCTGGCTCCCCATCGCTCTCCTCCCTCCTCGGTCTCTCGTGGTCCGATTCCCTGCGTCTGTCTGTCCCCCACCCTCCCTGCCGACGGTCCGTCCCTCCTCCCTTCCTGTCCCCCCACCCCATGAACTTGAACCAACTTACTGTTCATGTCCCCACAGGGCAGGGGTTCCCCAGGGCAGGGGGCAGGGAGCTGGGGGCCTTTAACCCTTCCCTGTCCGCTGCCGGGGAAGCCCTGGGGGTCAGCTGGGCCTCGGCCTGGGGAGGGGAGGCATGTACGTGTGAGGAGCGAGGGCCGCGGCAGTGAGGGAGTGTGTCCGCCTGGGGGGTTATATAGGGGGCCGGGGCGGGCGGGCGGGGGGCAGGCGGCAGGGGAGGGCGGCCTGACACATCCTGACTCACCCTCCCTGCCTGCCTTTTCCATTCAGTCGGAGCCGGCTGCTGCGCTGGGCTCACGCGGCCTCGCTCAGAGGAGGGCACGGAAGGAAAAGTTGGAAAAGTTGAAAAGGGAAAGGGGGGGTGGTCGGAGAGGGGCTGGTGAGGTCATTGGCGTCCCCTCCCTCCACCTCCTCGGCTGGCCGCCTGGCAGGGCAGGCACACAGGGCTCAAGAGCTGGGGCGGGGCTGTAGGTGGGGGTCCCGCTGGGCCAGGGTCGGCAGGAGAGAGGGGCAGCGAGAGGGTGGCTGACCCCCAAGAGACAGACCTGGGAAGATGGAGGTGCTGGGGAAGAGCCTCCGAGGGACAGAGACAGAGGCAGAGACCTAGGCGAGGAGTCGAGGACACGCAGAGCAAGCACTGGGGGGACCAGAGTGACAGGACTGGAGGGTCCGAGATGCAGAGATTTTGGAAGAGATGGAGGCACAGAGATGGAGGAAGCCGAGGCGCGCTGCAGATGCAGAGGAGACCAGAGGGACAGAGGAGAGGGGACCAGAGCAAGAGGAAGCCAGCAGGAGCAGTTGGGGGACACCCAGAGGACCCCGCGGGGAAAACGGACAGAGACACGCGGTCTCAGAGAGTGGGGAGGCGGGCGACGCCGAGGCAGGGCAGCAAAGGGGCAGAGACCTCGAGACAGGGCGATCCTCAGAGATGGAGATGCTGAGGTGCTGGGGGTTCAGCTGTGGGGACAGAGGGAAGGTCCTTCTGCAGGAGATGGCGCCATGGTGGAGGGAACACGAAGGCGGGAGAGAGCCGGAGGTGGAGGCTAGGGAACCACGATGGAGAGGCGTCAAGGTACCCAAGAAGGTCCCCTCCACCTCAGTTCCCTCGCCTGTGAAACGGGGATAACTGAGTGTCCACCCCACCCTCAAGAGCCTACAGACATCATGCAGTCAGCTCCCAACAAATGTGGACCATCTCTATTCTTCTTGTGGCTTTTTATTAACATCCTGGGAGAAAGAGAAAAGGTGTAGCCACCAGGAGAGACAGAGATGGTGAAAGAGCAAGGTGCCCACAAACATGGAGAGGAGGGCCTCCTGGGCAGCTGGAGGCCAGGCTGGCAGGGGCTGGAGCTGGAGAGGTGGCGGAGCAGGAGAGGGAGACATGCAGATTCAGGGGGCAGCATGCCCACACAGGCATGCAGACGGTGAGTGCCAAGTACAGGGGGCAGAGGCGGCCTCAGGATTCACTGCAGGGCCAGCGAGGGGCGGACGGGAGCCCAGTCCCCAGCCAGCCAGGAGACAGGCAGCTGAGAGACTGGGTTTGGGAGTGAGAAGACCAAAGATGGCACGACTTCCAGAGGTCTCCCTGCAGACCCCTCTCCTGGCCCCCAAGACTATGCCAAGCTGGCAGGGGGCCTCTGGGGACACATGGCAACTGGAATTGTCTCTCCCCCCCACCCCATCCCCTACCTGGGGGGGCGACTGCTCAGGTCCCCAGGGAGGTGAGGTCACAGCCCCCCCATGGTGGGACATGACCTCATGCCTCAGGTAAGAGCTCTCTCTCCCTTGGTCTGTCATGGCCACCCCTTCCAGGGCCCCCCAGGGGCCCTCCCCAGCCCCACTCCTGCTGGGACCCAGGCCTCTGACCACTGGGTCTCCACCCCTCGGGGGGCCTGTTTCCGGCTGAGTCAGCGTGGGGGGCCCAAGGCTGCGTCACTGAGGGGAGAACTGACGTAGCCCCCCTCCCCCCCAGACCAACGGGGCCAGCCAAGGTGACTCAGGCCACCAGCCTGGGGGACGGACTGGCCTGCTGGGATGGGGACTGGGCCTGGGGCCAGCCTGAGAGTAGCACTAGGGGGCTGGGGCCGGCAGCCCCTTCCACCTGCAGGGGCCGGGGAAGCATGCTGGCCCCTGCCCTCTGCCTCAACACAGGCGTCCAGCCCCCAGCCCTCCTCCCTCAGACCTCAGGGTCAGGTGTCCAGGCCCCACACACTAGCTTCCGGAAAGGTGGAGAAAAGCGTGCTGCCATCCTGCAGTTTGGGGAGTGCTGTGCCGGGGAAGGCCCGGTGGCTGGGGCTGGCTCAGCCCTGCCCTGGCGCTGGGCGGTCCTCTTCCCACAGGCGGATGGAGGAGGCCGAGGGCAACAGAGTGGCTGCAGCACGGGAGGGTGAGGGGGTGCTCAGGACCCCTGGGTCTTCCCCAGGGTGGGGACACTGAAGCTACTTCTGGGGAAAGGAGGGCAAGGAGAGAGACAGGGGATGACAGGGGACAGGGAACTACAAAGGACAGCCGGTGACACCAACAAGCAGATGGAGACAGGAGCACAGAGGCTCAGAGTGAGAAAAATGGGGTCAGAGGTGCAGTAAAATGGGGTCCACAGAGACACAGAGAGACAAGCTTTGGCTCAGAGACAAAGACAGGGGGAGACACGGTGCAGAGGCTCTGGGTGGTGGTCACAGAATCCAGGAGATGCCACTGGGCTACGAGGGGGGCGCCAGGGGGTCCCTGGACAAGGTGGAGCTGGCTGGTGTGAAGTCAGCAGGTCCAAGGCCGTGTGTGTCCGTCTGTCTGTCCCTGGGGGGTCCTGTCTGGCCTCTGGGGGGTGACGGGGCAGGCGGGCCGCAGAGGCAGCCCAAACCTGTCATTAGCGGTGAGGGCCATGACGGCAGCCCCCCCAGTCCCAAGCCGCGGTCCAGGGCTTGGCAGCCCCGCCTCCCCACCCCCTCCTTGATCCCTGAGGAATCCCGGGAATTGCGAAGTGGGTCCAGATGATGTTGACACAGGAAACGGTCATCAGTTGCCTGGCCTCAACCCCACAATCCCTGTGACCCCCACCCCCGGCCTCCTGCCGAGCCCCCTCTGACCTGTGTCATCTCTGACGGAGGCAGGCCAGAGCCCACTCAGCTCCCACCAGGATGTTTACGGGAGATGGGCAGGACGGAGTGAGCCTCACGGGGCTTCCCAGGACCTGGGGTCTGGACTCCTGGACAGTCACCCTCAGACCAGCCCCCAGCCCTCCACCCTCAGGCCAGGGACCCAGGCCCCCAGCCCCCCTCCCTCAGCCCCAGGCCCCCAACCCTCCTCCTTTAGACCCAGGAGCCTGGGCCCCCAGCCTCCTCACACTCAGGAGCTGGACCCAGAGCCACACCGCCAGGAGGGCTGAGCCCCCTCCGCACTGTGCGGCAAAGCTGATGGAGGTCTCCGGGGGGAGCAGTCACAGTCCCAAACAGGCCCCGGCAGGCCTCCTCACCCACCACTGTGTGGAACCAGACCAGGAGCTTGAGAACCTCCAGCTGGACCCCTTTCCCTATTGGCAGGTGGGGAGGGGGAGGCACAGGGAGGAGAGAGTCACCCTCCCCCCTTGGGCATCTCCTTGCCCCCAGGCCCTCAGATTACACCTGCCCCTGCAGGAGGCCTATCCGGATAGGGGGCTTCTGAGCAAGTGCCCTGGCCCGTGGCCAGACACCCATGTGTGCGTTGCCCTCCCAGGCCGCCTGCTTGCCGGGGGCCTCCCTAACCGTGGGCTCAGTGAGCCTCCTGCCCCTGGTTGCTGGGGGCAGGACTCCTGGTCCAGGTCTCAGGAACCCGCGCCACCTGCAACTGCCTTGCAGGCATTAGGCTGCGAAGCAGAGGGATTCCCTGGCCCCAGGTTCCTGGGTCCCACCCCCGGGGTCCCCTTGGTGAGGAAGAGCTGCCTTGAACCCCTGGCTTTCAGCCCAGGTGGGTAGGGGGGCTTTTCTAGTGCCAGAGCCCCTGTCCCACCCCAAGGCCCCGCCTACCCGGCTGCTAAGGAAGTAGCTCCCCAACAGACAGGCCACTGTGACCCCTTTGCCTCTTCCCCTTTAATAAGGGGGCTCCCTAGCAACAGAACTTAGAACTTTGAGGGCTGGGTGGGGTTGAGCTGGTCGCTGGAGTCTTTCTCCACAGAGGCCCAGTGCACTGAGGACGTGACATGGCGGGCTCGGGGGTCCCAGCTTTGAGCCTTTTCCTGCTGATGCAGGGTGCAGTAGGTGAGGGGGCCAACACGAGGGGTGGAGAGCCAAGCAGAGGGCCTCCTCGGCCATCATACAGCCTCCCGGCATCACCCCTTTTCTTTCACAGACGGGAATGGAATCCAGGGGTTCTTCTACCCATGGAGTGAGCAGCGGGTGAAATTCTGGGTCTCCCAGGGGCAGGGAGCCCAGACTAGACTCTTGGGTCTAAAGGGAGGAGGGCTGGGTCCTAAACTCCGGGGTCTGAGGTCTTGTTCTGGGGTCTGAGGGTTGAGGGTCTGGGGCCTAGTTTTGGGGTCTGATTGAAGGGGTGCTGGGGGCTGGACTCCCAGATCTGAGGGAGGGGGCTGGGGACCTGGGTCCCGGGTCTGAGGAAGGGGCTGGGGTCCCAGGTCTGAGGCAGGGGGGCTTGGGACCTGGGTCCTGGGTCTGAGGGGGGAGGGGCTGGGGGCTGGACTCCTGAATCTGAGGGAGGGGCCTCGGGCCTGGGTCTGAGGCAGGGGGCTGGAGGCCGGCACTAAGCACTAGGAAGGCAGCCCCAGGGCCTGCCTTGGGATACCTGCCCTCTGTTGCCCTCAGGGTCAGGCTCTGTGATGAGCACACCACTTGGGGTGGGTCCTCAGGCTGTGAGGGAGAGGTCGGGGACTGGGAGAGCTGTGGGGGCCAGGCGGCACTCGAGAACCCCAGTCTCTGCCTGCGTCTCCGATGCTGCTATCGTGATGGGGTCTGCTTTCACCAGCGGCCGGACGGTGAGTGGGGATGCTGGGGTTCCTGGGTGGGCTGGTCTGGGCCCCCTGCTCTCACACCTCCCTCCTTTGTCCAGAAACTATGCGGAGGAAACACTTGTGGGCCCTGGGCTGGACCTGCGGAGGCGTCCTCTTCCTGACCGCCAGCATCTGCTTGTTCTGGCGAGTGGGGTTGGGGCTTGGGTGGCTCCTGTGCCCCCAGGTGAGCAGGCTGATGGGAAAGGCTGAGCATGTCCCCCCCACCAGGTGGGCCAAGCGGCGCTACGCGCTGCACCTTCCAGGGTTCCTGCAGGGCAAGTGCACCCTGTCCAGAGCGGTCTCTCTGTTGCCCAAGGACCCGAACACTCTGAGTGAAAAAAAGATGGCATCTGTGGGCAGCATGCCAGCCTCCCTGTCTGCAGAGGGGATCCTGGATGGCTCAGGGGCCACCGAAGGGGGCGAAGAAATGGGAGATGGGGAGGATGAAGATTAGAGGCACCCCTGGAGGGACCCCTCAATACACATATAGCATATAGATGCCTGGTCTCTTTTCTGAGAACCTCAGGAGAAGGAGGCGGATGTGCCAGGGGACATGGAGTGTGCGTGTGTGTGTTTGGGAGCAGCCAGTTGGGTGGCAGCTGGACCACGGGGAGGGTGTGAGCTGAGGGGTGTCCAGAATGAGAGGGATCCCACGGTAAGTGGGGAGGACTTGAGCTGAGGGGGACCTGGGCTGTGATCACAGGGCATGTGAAATGGGAGAGTTGGGGCTAAGTGGGGGTTGCCTGTGCTGGCTCCTGGGGCACCTCCACCGGTCTGGGGGGGCATGTTACAGCTACAGAAATGTGCCCCCCAGCTCTCTTGCCTGAGTGCCGCTGTCTGCAGCCCACCCCAGGGATCCCGCCCCCTCCACCAGCATTTGCCTGCTTCTCACCAATGGTGCAGTGGCAGGGCCTCTGCAGGATGCAGGCCTCCCCCAGGGCAGGACTTAAGCTCTCAGACTCCCCAGAAGCCAGCCAGACTTTTCTTGGAAGTTCAAGACTCATCCCGCCTTCCAGTCTTTCCTCTCATCCCTCCCCTTTCTCAGGTGTCAGACCCACACCAATCTACCCTATTATTAGGCCCTCAGTAAATGTATTGCAAGTTTAATTTGTCCCTCTGTCTGCTGCTCAGAGGACCCCCAAACTAACAGAGGATGCTCAGAGGACCCCCAAACTAACAGAGGATCCTGGGCTGAAGGGTGGGTCTGGGCTCAAGATCTTTGCCCCTGTCCCCACCTCATCCCCCTGTGGGGGGCCAGCATGAAGCTGGGTTCCTATGTCCCCAAGGGCATGGGTGGCCCCTGCCGTCCCTCTCCCAGACAGACATGCAGTGCTGTGAGGCAGAGCCATTTATCCAGAGAAGGATAAGGGGAGGGCAGGTGGGCATCCTGGTGGCCAGGTGACATTGGGGACAGCTGCGCATCTCAGTCCAGTCCTGACAGGTGGGGCCACAGGTTCATCTGCAGGAGGGAGGGTGCGGTTAGTGGCTGTTTGGGACCCCTCCCAGAATCCCTGCACTCCCGGGCCCACAGACCAGTGGCCTGAAGGAGGCACGGGAGTCCTTTCTCCTGCTCCAGCCCCTGGCACATCGCCTCACACATTTGATCTTTTGCTCTTCATCTCTCTACACCTTCAGTGGCTGCAGCATGCTCGTCTTTACCGCATCAGAATCCAGTAGTGCGAGATGGGAACAAAGGACAGGGACAGGCAGAGACGGGGAAGAAGAGAGAGGGGAGAAATAGCAAAGGGGGCGGCTGGGTCTGTCCCTTTACTGAACTAACTTGGTCCCAGAGGGAGAAGACAGCGACTGGAGCCACAACCTATGGGTCCTCTATTAAAATGAAAATTCTCTGTCCTTCAAGTGCTGGGCATATCTCACCCTGCCTCTCGAGGAGTCCTGTGTTTGAATGGGCCCACTTTCCTTCCAAGAGGGGTGTACACTCATGGGCCCTTTCCCCAAGTTCCTGGCAGGTGGTTCCAGCAGGGAGGGCCACCCAGCTCTGTTAGGCTTTTGGGCAAGGTAAAGGATTTTCAGGGGTAATTTTAACCACAGGTGGTTATTTCTGCAGCATATGCCAAATGTGTGTGTTAGTTCATGCTTCATCTATGAATATAGGTATTCATCCTTTCCTAAGATGGTTTTCATCTAGGCCACAGAACATAGCAAATGGTTGGAGTGACTATTTTCTCAATTTTCACAAAGAAGGATATATAACTCGTATTCTGAATGCATAGGAGAAAAGTTAACTCATCACATATAATGTCTAAGGACAGTAGGGTGTCATTCTTTTATGGAACCCCCATTTGAGAAAGTGACTCAGTCATTCATTCACCCATTGTTCCACCTATCCACCCGCACATCAACCAATCCATCCATCTTCTTATGCGTTTACCTATCCATCTGCCCACACCATCTATCCAACCAACCACACATTCACCCACCTACCCACTCATTAATACAACCAGATCCATCCATCCATCATCCATCCACCCACACATCCATCAACCAATCCACACTCACCCATCCACCCATCCATCCACATGCACCCATCTCTCCATGCACCCACCAATCCATCCATATATCATCTATCCATCCACCAGTCCATTCATTCATCCATCCATCTGCCCAACCACCCATCCATGAACCAATTCATCCATCCATCGAACGACCCACCTACCCAATCATCAACTTCTGGTTTCCTGAGTCCACGTCTTGCTAGGCAATGCTAAGAACAAAGATACCAGAGACCCAGTTCTTACCCCAAGGGCCTGCCTGTCTCCTGGGGGCAATATGGAGACCCAGAGAAAGGCAATGAAGTTGAGTGGATCTTAAAGCACACATGGGAAGTTTCTGTGTGGAGACAGCCAGCAAGGGCGTTCCTACAGCAGGGGAGAGACGGCCAAAGCCCAACTGGTATGAGAGAGCTTGGCTGTCCATGGACTGAGGGGGGTCAGCGCAACTGCAGAGAAGGCAGGAGATGTGGGTCTGAAATGTGGGGGCCCACAGTGGGTGGTTTGGGTTTAACAAGAGGGCAATGGGGAGCCACAGCAGGCGTTTGACCAGAGGAGTGCAAGCTGGAGACTGTGCTTAGAAAGGGGGGGGAATGAGCAGCAGAGCCTTCTCCGCCTTCCCTCTCTGCTGCCATCCCTCCTCTGGCGGATCTCACTCTCCCCCTCTCTATTTAAGCTACTAGTCAGGAGAATCCCAGCTGTGTGTACCTGGGCAAGAGGTGGCCCCTTTCTGCGCCCCCATGTCCTCCACTGGGATGGGGGCGATAAGAGTAGTAACCTCAGAGACCCGGTCACACTGAGAGGATTGCGCGGGGCCTGGTGCGCCTCGGGCTGGAGCGCAGGGAGGGACGGCCAGGTGTAGGGCCATGTAGTGGTGACTCTCCAGGCGTCCCTGCGGGGCTGGGTTTCCTGCGTCTCTCCAGGTGGGCCCCCAGGCCTGCTGTCTCAGTCTCCGTCCTCTGGGTCTCGGCTACTCTCTGCGTCGTCCTGTCCAACCTTTACTCATCCTGTGTGTCTGTGCCCCCGGCGTGGCTCCATCTTTCCCTGTTCGGCACCGTTTCCATCTCTCCCTCCGTCTCCCCCCGCCTCCTGCGGCCCCTCCTCCTCTCCCTGCTGCCCCGCCTTCCCGACCCCTCACCTGGCTCACTCGGGGCCCGCGCCCGCCGCCCCGGTCCCGGCTTCGAGTGCGGAGAGCTGCAGGCGCACGCGGCGGGAGCCGGCGGCGGGCGGCGGGGGCGTGCGGGGGGCGCGGCGTGCTCCCCAGGAGGCGGGCGCGGCGCGCGGCCCGGACGCAGAGGCCGGAGCCGACCAGCGGCGGGAGAGCTTGCGCGCCAGGCGGGCCAGCGCCGAGGGCCTGAGGCCGTAGTCGCGCTCGAGCTCCTGGCGCGAGATCTCGATGTTGCCGGTGTACCAGAGGATCCAGCCGAGCAGGCTCAGGAAGACGAGCAGCGCGCCCGAGTAGATGAGCAGGTCGCCGAAGTCACGGCCGCGCACCTGCAGCTGCGCGAACACGCCGGTCAGCAGCGCCGCCATGCCCGCCACGTCCAGCGCCACGGCCAGCAGCAGCGCCACCCGGCAGCGGCCCAGGCCGGACGCGGACCCTGGCGCGCCGGCCGGCGGGGCCGGCGCTCCCGGCGGGGGCCCCTGCGAGGCGCACGCCGCTGGCGCCGCCGCCATGGCCCTGCTCGCCGCGCTGGCTCCGTTCAAGAGAGATCGTCCCGGGGTGCGGCCCGGCCGGGGCGGGGTCAGGAAACGGCGCCAGGTGTGCCCGGCGCCCGCCTGGTCACCTGAGCCGGGCCGGGTGCGGCCGGGCCGGCTTGGGGGCGCCCTGGTCGCTTTCCGGGCAGGGCCTGGCTCTCCGAGGCCGCTGCGACGGGCAGCTGGGCGCACATTAAGGTGTGTGACGGGCCTCTGCACCCCAAGGAGCTCGAGGCAACCATGGCCAAAACTAAGGGTGTTCATGGAGGGGGCCTGGGGCGCCCTGGGAGCCCGACGTTGTTCCTTATCAGGGCTCTGAGCATTTGCCCTCCTGCACACCAGGCCCCACTATGGGGATCGGTGGCGTCCGAAACAAGGAGCAGACAGGCCCCTGGACCCCAGGGAGCGCTGGGACGCAGAGAAATCAGCAGTCAGGGTGAGCTGGTGGAGGAAACCCGGGCTCCACGGAGCTGACGTTGCTCACTTTCCTGCCTGTTCCCTGGGGCCTTCTTTGCGCCTCCGCCCGCCGGCACGGAGGATATTCTCAGAACTCTGACCGCCGTGAGACTCTGGGGCTCTAATGGAGGCAGCAGGGCAAATCCCTCCTCCATACCTCTGCCCTTGGGTTTCTCCTGGGACCTCTGGACTGTCAGGGCTCATCACCAAGAAGCCTAAGACACTGAGAGGGACCCTCGAGCTCCCAGGCATAACTGCAAGTCAAGGTGCACTGAGGTGACAAAGCTCTGCCACTCCTTTTGCTCAGTCGCCTGGGGCCCCCCAGCACCGGGCCCTCTGCTGGTGGGGCTGACCACACAAGCAAGGCTCCTGCCCTTAACATGCCTGACCACAGAATGTGAACAATAAGGGGGTATGACCTGTGGCGGACTTTGGTGGGAGAATGGGCTGCGAGGCCCAGGGATGCTGGGCCCACATGTATGGAACGCCTAAGGGAACCCAGAGCTTTCCCAGACAAACCTCTTTTTCTAAACATCAACTTGTCCTTAGCGGAAATCTACGCCCCTGGAATAATAGTGTGCAAGAAATTCCGTCTAGCTTCTTCCTAGACTCTAAACAATTTTAAGAATTAAAGTATTATTGATATACACTAGACTCTAAATAATTTAAAAGTTTATTTAAAGAGGACCCTTGAGGAGAAAGAACTAAGGGGGGATGGCTGCTGAGATTAGCCGGAGGGTTCCGAGCGTGGCCGAATAGAGACCGAGTGTTTCCGAACAGACCCGAACCGGGCATGAGCGAATAAGGGAAGGCGGCCACACAGCGGAAGAGCGTTTCGGGAGAGTTCAAAAATGCCCGAACGGGCCTCCGTGCCTTCTTCGGGAATAGCCGAGGGCTTACGATGAAGTCCGGAAGCTTCCGAAGACGCTGGAGCTAGGCTTAAGTCACCTGCTCGCACGGTCGTGGGTAAAACAAATGTTTATGGAGCGCCCATCCTGTTCCAAGCATAATGCCAAGCGCCGGGTAGGCAATAATATAGGCTGCTGAGGAAAGGGACTAGGGAGCCTCTCGAGGGGAACCGACTCGGAAATCCAGCCACCGAGCTTCAGCAACACACGAAGGGCCCTCAGACTGTAGCACTCCGCCTCCGAGAACGCGCCTTCGGGTCTCTAGCAGTAGAGCTCTGAAGATCCCCGAGCAATGGACGACGAGATGGCGGAAATAGCCGAGCGTTGCCGAGCCACCGAGGAGGCGGGGCCAGGGGGCAACACGCGAGTGCTAGAGAGGAAGCGGAAATGCGTGTCGCTATTAAAGGAGTCGCCCCTCCCCCCGCCAGCCTCTTTCCGTCTCCGGCCGCCGCAGCGCGAGGAGGTGAGCGTGCCGTCCTCCGTCCCTACGCGTGGCCGGGGTTCGTGCCAGCAGCTATATGCCTCTGCCTCCCTCCAGCCTCTCGCTGCGCCGCTCGCGACCTTGGTGGCCCCACGGCCCGCCGCCTGGCGTCGCTGTGCACTCTCACCCTGTCCCCCGCACTAAAGTCGGCCGCCCGGTTCTGCCCACTGCCTTCGATCGTCCAGCCCCGCCTGGCAGAGTTCTAGGTCATTGCCTCTAGGGTGCCCCCGTCCGCCCAGCTACCTTGTCACGCCGCTCCCTCTCCCTGTTGTGCGGGGAGCCGCGCGCCCTGCTGCCCCTTTGACGCCTTCCCGCGCCCCTTTCCCGCAGCTGCCGCCATGTCTGCGCATCTGCAGTGGATGGTCGTGCGGAACTGCTCCAGCTTTCTGATCAAGAGGAACAAGCAGACGTACAGCACCGTAAGTGCGGCCTGGACCCTGGGTGCGAGGGGGCGCCTGCACGGGCGCAGGTCCCCGCTTCACCACCCCATGCGTCCTCCCCGCCAGGAACCTAACAATCTGAAGGCCCGCAACTCCTTCCGCTACAACGGGTTGATTCACCGCAAGACTGTGGGCGTGGAGCCGGCGGCGGACGGCAAGGGTGTAGTGGTGGTCATGAAGCGGAGATCCGGTGAGCATTTGCCCGTGTTTGGCCCCGCAACTGGGCCCTTTATTCGGGGCAGTGAGCTATGGTTTTTTTCAGTGTCCGGCAGCAGGAGTAACTGTCGATCGAGTTCTCGGGGTCAGGATGTTGGTCTGGGAAGCTGGCTTCCCTCTCGCCAGACCGCAGGCTGTGAGCTGGTCAGGCTGCTTCAACACGTTTGCTCATCTGTTAGGTCAGGAAATTAATAGGAACTGTACTTTACTGAGTGATTGTAAGGATTAAATTACGGTTGCACCATCATGTGATGTTTTCTAATTGAATCCTTGAAACAAGTCAGGTGGAGGTAAAGATCTCCATTTGACTGCAGGTGGAAAAACTGAGGCAAACAGGGAAGGTTAGCAGCCTTCCCTACCTCCCACATAGAGGGAGTGGCAGACCGGTTGGGAGGCAGCAGTTTGACCCCCATTCGGCTTTCTTGGATTCATAAGGGATCTTGGGCACCCCACCCCCATTGACTGCTCTCAGCTACGGACTGACAATTTTAGTGTCTTAGAGGAGGTCCAGGGGCAAAGAGTGCCTTGTGGGCTGTTAACAGTTTCAGCTGTGGGGTACATCTCCATCACTGCTTTTCACTGGGATTGATTTAGGAGATGGATGAGTTTACTGGGTCCCTGATTTAGCGCTGGGAGCCCAGCACTGTCAGTGACAGCCGTGGCCGTGGTCTGCCTATGCTGGAGGGGTGATTACTTACCTTCTCCAGGGGTTCAGCTTGGGGGGCAACCAGTCATTTCCCCACTGACCTTCCAAGCTTCCCGTCTTCCTGAGAACCCTGTTCTGATATGTTGGGTCCTAAAAATTTGGTTTTTGTCTTGAATTATTGGGTGGCTTTTCCCAGCCTGTCAGGAACCAGATCCTTGAGAGGAGGTAATTGATAGTGTCTGTACCCTGGGGTCCGTGAGTAAGCCGAGGGCAACGTTAAACCACTAATGTGTCCAGGGATCCTCGGTTTCTTGGAGGAAGCTGCTCGTACTTGGCGCTGTGAGTGCAGAGCTCCAGCTGAGGCCTTGCTGATGCAGTTCTAATTGAGGCCAGCAGCTTTGGGTCACAGGAAAGAGGGTGCCTCTTTTGGATCCTGGGCAGTGAGTCCAGACCCCACCCCTGCACACAGTGAGGCAGGTGCTGGCCCCAGGGCTCTTCCTCTTGCTGGCCTTCCCAGGTCCCATCACCCCAGCATCCCGGCCAGACCTCTTGGCTTGGCATCCCAGACCCTTGTTTTGGGCAGGGATGGTGGCAGGGCAGGGCCCAAAGCAGCAGGCTGAGGAGTGCTCACTGCCGGCCCGCACTGTGCCCAGGGCCCACCCCAGTGCCCTCCCTGGAGCCTCGAAGCCTGGATTGAAGCACCTGTGCTGTATGTGTGTCCCAGGGTGACACTCTTTACTGATCCCGTGGTCTCCGCTTCCATCTCTGTCCAGTGGGATGAGCCCATGGCTTGGGGTCACAGGAGGACGAGACATGTACAGGGCCCAAGGCAGGACCTGGCCTGTGGGGCTGCTGAGCGTCCCATGAGTCCACGTTTGGAGATGGGGCAGGGTGCTCGGGTTCTGGGCTGAGACTGCGCTCTCACCCCTGGGAGGTGCACGAAGACCTAGACCACCTGACTGATCCTGCCGCCCACCCCCAGGCCAGCGAAAGCCGGCCACCTCCTACGTGCGGACTACCATCAACAAGAATGCCCGGGCCACCCTTAGCAGTATCCGGCACATGATCCGCAAGAACAAGTACCGCCCGGACCTGCGCATGGTGAGCGGCTGGGCTGCAGGGTGGGGGTGGGGATGGGGCGCGGCTGGCGTGAGGAAGGGCGTCTGCGGATCACTGCACGGGGAGGACCCGTCTCCCAGCGGGCAGGCAGGTGGTGCACGTGGGTGAGCTGAGCCCCTGCACGCCCCACAGGCTGCCATCCGCAGAGCCAGCGCCATCCTGCGCAGCCAGAAGCCTGTGATGGTGAAGAGGAAGAGGGCGCGCCCCACCAAGAGCTCCTGAGCACCCCTGGGGCAATAAAGATGTCAGCCATCAGCCGACTTGTGACCACTCTGCTCAGGCCTCATTCTGTGTGGCCCTGGGGCCCTGCCCTGTGTGTGTGATTCGGTAGCGTCATCAGAACTCCCTGTCAGCTTGTCCCCAGGGCTCCTCCACCCAGTCCCACGCAGGTCTGGAGGGACCAGGCCTGGGGTTGAGGGAGCTCGGCCCTGGCCTGTGGTCCTGCTCCACCAGGAGGGCTCGGGGATGGCGCAGAGTCTGTACAGCACGTAAGGGGTGACTGCAGTGCCCAGACCAGAAGGCGCTGGTTGAACGAGGGAAGCGCACGCACCATCCTGGCAGAGCTGTAAGGTGGGCCTTAAGTGTCTGTCTCGATCCTTTACCATCTGGTTGGTGTCTGCTGGGGGGTGGGGGTCTAGACCATGAATTAGCCCACCCGTTACGGGGCTGCGGCCTCTTCCTGTTGGGCAGTGTGTCCAGCGAGGCCCGCAAAGGTGACCTCTTGTCTGTCTGGCCCTGAGCTATAGACTCTGTATAAGGGGAACAGAAGGCTCCCGACTGGCTCTTGGGTAAGAAGTGGGCCTCTGGTAGCTTGAAAGCGCACTTGGGCCTCCCGGGTGTGGTTCTGTGGCAGCACCCAGCCCACCGGGCCCACGGTAGGGAAGTGCACTGTGTCGGGGGACGCAAGCAGAGGCTAGGTTCCAGGTCCAGAGTGCCCTTCTCTGCCTCTGAGACAGGCGCTGGGGCAGCTCATGAATGAGTCCTCATCCCCGTGGGGCTGTTCACTGGGAGGGGATTGGAGGCCCACACACCATGTGCAAGGGGTGGCTGCCCCAGGTATCCTGCCAGCAGCTGGTTCTTGGTTGAGAACCCAGCTAGCCAGCTGTTCCTCCTAGACTGGGAGCGTGCTCCTCTGTTCCCTCCCTCGTCTTCACCTGCTCCCAGTCTTGCCAGCCAGGCTGGGCCTCCAGGCTTTGTAGGGTCTCTGCCCGCCCCCACCCCCCGACCTGTTGCGCTGGCCTGCCTCTGTCTCCCAGGCTGTCTGCACAGCCCTTTCCTGACCACCCCTATGAAGCGGGCTCTCCCAGTTCGCCTGCCCTCGCCTGCTCCCTGCTCGCCTTTCAGCTGCCTCCTACCAGCTCACGCACAGGCTGTGTGTCCTTGGCAAGTAACTAGCTCTTCCTGTGCCTCTTAATGGCATCCAGTGAGTTAACAAAAGGCTGAGAAAAACCTGCAGGAACTCTTGGCCTTTCAGAGGTGAGGTGCTGTGAGAAAATGGATCTCTGTTCAGATGGGTGTGTGGCATGTGTGTGTATAGATAAGCCCACATACTCAGGTGTGGAAGGGCCATTTTTCCAACTACTGCAGGTATACCGTGGAAGCAGATGTCACCTTACAGGTGTGAAACAGGCTCAGGGTGGGAAAGGATCAGTCACATGGTTACTCCCAACAGTTCCTGCAGACCTGCGTGCCAGCTACCAGGCCCAGGGCTGAGGAGCCAGCATGGAGGGTCCCTGTGCAGACAACCTCGTGTCCTCCAGAGGCCGGGGTCTGCAGGATCCCGTCTGGTGGGGCTGACTCCATACCCAGAACAGCTGCTGACCTCACCTACCCTGACTCCTGATCCAGCCTTGCCCAGCTCCAGTGTGAGCCTCCTGCCCCCCGCCAGACCTCCTCACCTGGACCCCAGCAGTAGGCACGCTGGCCCCATGTGGGTCCTGCCCAACCCAGGAGAGCACCGTCCTGGCGGAATAACTCAGATGGCTTATTCCCACCCTGGCAGGCTGCTTGCCAAGGCCCACGTCCACCTCCTCACACACCAGGCGTTTGCATTTCCACTCCCCTGGAGGGTCCCCCTGGGGATGCAGGGCCTTGCCCTGTTAAGGCTCCTGGCAGCGTGGCCATGGCCGCTCTGTCAGGAAGCAAGGGCTGGGCAGTTCTGGGCCTTGGTCACCCGCAGCTTTGAGACCAGGCTGCTCTGGAACCTCGTGCTCCGGGCCTTCTGCCCACGTGGAGTCCCGGCTGCGCGGACCCCGCTCCCACCACCGCCAACATAACCATGTGAACCTTCCCTCCTCACCCAGCCTGTGCTCACCTGAGCAGTGGCCGTGGTCAGTCAATGGGCAGCCTGTCAGTGGCTGGGCTGGGTGCCCCGCATCGGGTGTGGTTGCTGCTGGGGTGGGGTTGGGGCCATGGAGGGTGAAGGGAGGGAGCAGACCTCCGTTTCCCACCTCCTTGGGTAGGTGTGGCGGGCACAGGGCCATCTATCCCAACTTACTTCTTGCAACAGGAAAAATAGATAAAAAACACAGATACCCAGACACAGCAAAAATGCTGAAAGCCAAAGGGAAATTTGGAAAACAGCAAGAGAAGTAACTTGGGCACAGGCGCCCCAACGTGGCTGACGGCTTCCCACAGAAGCAGTGGGGCCAGGAGGCTATGGGCCGAACTCGGGTGCTAAAAGGCCCCTTCCCCCTGCCGCCCACATCCCGCGTCTGGGCTGGTGGCTTGGCCACCGTGGAGCCGGGCTGCTCAAGTTCCAGCTCCAGGTCTGCCAGTTCCCCCGTGGGCCCTGAGTGGGTCACCTAGTTCATGCCTCAGTTTCCTGCATACGGGTGCTTATCACAGACCCTAAACTCAAGGCTGTGGAGATTAAATGCACAAGCTCAGGACATGCCCAATTTTCACTGTAAAAATGGGTGAATATTTGTGATGTTATTTTGATCAGATGAACTGAAATGATCGCAATGTCTTCGCTGCGTCTGCAACTGTTTGCCCACAAAATGAGGCTGTGTTTTCCCTGCTAACCCTGTGGAGCGAGCCTTCCGTGCGTTCTGGTGAGAAGCATCGCATTCTGGGCTGCGTTCCCAACCCAGGCTGCTTGTGCCCATCTAGGAACTTCCGGTTTCCCTGTTGCTCTTGTAGTTTGCTGGGATGAAATCATCTGGTCTTTGGAAGTCTCCCATTATAGAAATAGCACGTGTGTGGTTTGGGACATGCAGATGGTAGAGGGGTGTCCAGGGGAGAAAAGGGCCCCCGGACCCTAGCCCCTGGCCTGACCATGAGCACTCGCTTGTTTCCTTTTCGGAAACTGTCCGGATGTCCACGTGGGTGTGAGCAGCCCGGCTGCTGGTTAGCCCGTAAGGGTATGTCTGCCCTGCCCTTGGCCAGGGCTCTCCCAGCAGGAGCGCCTGCATTTAGCACAGTGGCTGTGGAAGAGAAGAGGCAGCAGTGGGGCATTGTCTTGTCCTTATCACTTTTCTGTAAAACTGTTCCAAAAAAGTCTCTTAAAAATATACCGAGGTAGTGTTGACTTCTCAGATTGAGAAACATCCAAATGTTGGGTTAAAAAGTGCTGGAGGGCATGTGGGACGGGCTACTGGCACTGCTTTGGTACAAACCCATAGGAACGTGGCGGTATCTAAAAAACTGCGAAGTGACAGTAACGTCACAAGATTTACTCCACAGATACCTACCCTGCACCGCATGACATGCACGGGCTTCTGCACTGCAGCAGGGCCGGCCTGTCGGCATGGGACACAGGTCAAAGCCCGCCTGTAGGCAGGATGACCACCAGTGTGGAGCAGGGAGGGAAGGAGGGTCAGGTGGGGGGGGGCAGTGCTGAAGGAACAAACATCTGTTGACACTACTGACTTGGGTTGGTGGAGTTCCTCCAGAGAACCTGTGACCCTGATCAACCCTGGTGGTTGCCCCTGATTAAGGGATCTGGGTGCTGGGGAGGCAGGAATGAGGGAGCTATTGCTTTGTAGAAACTTGTTAGCTTTAAACTAAAAAACCAGCTGTTTTTCAGTGGGTAACATTCACAAAGTAGTCCACGCTGTCCTTCCTTGACAGTATTTGCAGGCTCCAATGTGACCTTCCAGGAGTTAAATGCACACACATGAAAATACACATGAATCCTATTTTAAACAAAAACTAAACGTTTAACAGAAATGGTAATGTATTGCATGCACTGCATGTCGCTTTTTTTCACTTAATGTACTTTGGAGATCAGTCCACGTACAAATTTAGTTTTCACTTTTTAAAAATTCTGAAGTGTGGCAGACTTTATAAAGTGCATAAAACATTTATACACTCAAAAATTATTAGAAAGCAAGCTTGCCCGTAGCCAGCACCCGAGTAAGGAAACAAGACCGCCAGCCTCTGCAGAGCCCCCCGGGGACTCCTTGCCGGCTAGGTAACCAGAATGCTGAGCCTCACGGAAGGTCTTCTCGCTCCCAGTTTCACAGCCTGTGTATAGTATGCTTGACAGGTTGACTACTGGTGCCTGTTTTGGAATCGCGTTACCATGGCGCCAAACCTTATCTGTTGTGACTTGTCTGGCTGATGGTGGTGGCGATCCTTCCATGCTGCTGTAGCGACAGTCCGTTATTTTTGTGTTGTTTGGTATAGTGTCTATAGAGTACTGTTTAAAATCAGCACAGATGTTTAAAGCGCAGTACACGTGTAGGGATGCTGAGTAATAAGCACGCGGGCTTCCATCTCCCCGGTCCCGTTTCCCGCTCCCACCATGAACATGCTCTGCCACCTCGTGAACACTTGCATTGTCAGACTGCTGCCAGGTCCTGGGAGCGGCTGCAGCTGTTACACTGCACCTTCCAGTGGTCTTCTCAGGTGTTCGGTAGGCATTAGGACTTCCTTTTGTGAAGTGTCTGTTCAAGGGTTTCTGCTTTTTTTTTTCTTCTGGGTCTGTAGTTCTTTACATATATAGTTTGGATTAGTTCTTTTTGATTGCCATGTCTTGTATCTTCTGACCACTGACTTGTCTTTCACTCTAGGTAAACAGAAGTCCTCGATTTAAAAAAATTTTAAATCAGCTTCACTTCGGTATACTTTACACAAAGTAAAATACATCTACTTTAAGTATTAAGTCTAAATCCTGACAAATTTCTACACCCACGTGGCCACTACCACATTGATCTAGAATTAAGACACCCAGAGAAGTCCCCATGCCCTGAGCATCTGGTCCTCCCCAAACCCAGGCCACCTGCCCACCACTGTGGGGGGTCTCTCTGCTTGCAGGCCTGGGATTTACTTGTTAGGCATATACACAGCAGGCTTTGCTGTCCAGAAGTAAAATGAAGCCTATGGTCAGAGCTGGACTTGGTCCTATGAGGGTGCAGCAGCTCACTGCACACGCCTGTCACCTGGCCAGGAAGGGACACTGCTGAGCCAACATTCCCACCTGGAAGGGCAGAAGCTACCAGGAGGCCTCAGCCCACCTCCCCCCACCCCATTTTAGACAGAAACCTTACTCCAGGGAAGAGCTGCATCACCTGCTGACTGCCCCAAGATAGGGAGCCCCACCTCATGCAGGAGGCCTGTAGAGCTGGAGGGACTCAGGCTGCAGCCTCCAGGAGGCCTGGGGTGGTCGGTGGGGGGTGGGGGGTGTGCCAGCAGAGTGCAGCCAATGGCCCAGCATCTGGAGACAGAGCAGCTGCTTTTCCAGCTTTATTTAGAAAAACAATTCCAGGTCCCAGTGCCCCAGCCCTCCCCCAACCAAGCCATAATTTAAATAACTTAGAGACAGAGTAGAGGGTTGGGTTGGGGGTGGGGTGAGGGAGAAGGGCCCGCTACAGTCGCCGCAGCGCCCGCTTCTTGTCCGTCTTTTTCTTAGCTGCCAGCTTCTTATCACGCTCGCCCGCGTGCTTCTTGGCCATGGGGCCCTCGGCACCTCCTGGACCCCCAGGGGCCATAGGGTCGGTGGAGGCGGCTGCATCTGCACTGCCCGGGGCCCGGCAGGCCTCAGCCTGGCCCCCACTGGGCCCGCCCGCGCCCCCGTGGATCTCTGTGAGCAGGCGGGCGCGCGCTGCGTACTCCTCGTAGTTCTCTAAGAGCAGGCGGCCTGCCTCCTCGTTGAGGGCAGACTCGGGGTTCGGATGGATCAGCAGGCACTTGATGGTCTGTGGGGACAGGGCCTGGGTCAGGGGACCAGACAGACACAGATGGGCCCCAAGCTGGCTTTTCCCTCTGGTCCGATCCTGTTCCCAGATGGGACACTGGCCCAGCTCACGCCCACATCCTCCCCATCTTTGCTCAGGGCCACCTGTGCAGTTCCACTGGACCAGAGACGGAGGCTTGGACTGGGCAGGGAAGGGACTTGCCTGGGTCAATAAGGAAGTAAGGGGGACAACTTAGCAACCCACGCCCAGGTCTGCTGGACTCCGAGTATCCTGTCCTCCCAGTCCTGGGAAGATGCCCAGACCCAGAGCTGCCATGGGCTTTAGCAGGCATGCCACATGCAGAGCCACACTGCTGGAGGGCCACACCCAAAAAGACACCAGGATGCAAGTGAAGGGGGACTGGTGTCCGAGGGACACCTAGAGGTGGACAAGGAAGGGGACCAGTCCTCAGTACCTATCCAGAAGCCCCTTTTAACTGAGGGGTGGGTACACTGAGCAAAGAGGGCCTGTACTCCATAGGGATGTGGCCAGCAGCCCTGGTCGCACCTTCTGCCCCAAGCCATGGTGTCTGCCCCACCTCCACTTTCAGCCCATCCCGCCTCCCCCCCAGCAGGACTGGCCTTAAGCAAGTGACATGCTGTCCCTCATGTGTGAACGGGGGTAGTGGAGATACACAGGGCTGTGGGGACACATGCAGAGCACCTGGCCCAGCAGACACTGCTGTTATCGGGAACCTGGGAGGGCACCCTAATTCTGACCACTGCACCCCATAACCAGAGGCGCCTCCCCAGCACTGTGGTCCCGGGATCACCGGGGACACTCAGTTACCCTGTGAGCTCATCTCCAGTGTCCCTGGCAGCTGCCACTGCCACTCGGAGTGTTTTCACTGGAGTGCAATCCTCCCTGTGCCCTGCAGGAAGCCCCAATTCCCCAGCCTACCAACCAGCTGCCTCAGGGGCTCATTAGAAATGCAGTTTAAAAAAAAAAAAAAAAGCTGCTTAAGCTGTGAGGGATGAGGAGGCAGCAGGTGACCTAAATGCTGTTAAGGGGCCGGTGGGGACCTGGAGCAACAAGTAGTGCAGGGAGTCTCCGCTTGGTTAGGCTAACTCAGAGCCCAGGTCATTCTGTGGGGCTGCCAGGGCACTGGCCTCCCTCAACCAGAGGCCACAATTAGGAATGTCTCCTGATGGGGCAAAATCCTCCGGCTGAGAACCCTGATTTATGAGAACATTCTGGAATACCAGTGGCGAGAGCTGCACAACCCAATGCTGAGACACCATAAACCATACACTTCAGAATGGTGGATTTTATGATGCCATGAATTATTTCAAGGGGATGCGGGGAAGAGGTGGTGGAGGGAGGGGGTGCGTGCGCCCTAACCGGATGTGTCACTCACCAGTGGGAAGCATCAGGGTGCCCCAGCACTGCCAGTCCTTCCAGGACTTTCCAGAAAAGCTGGAGACCCAGATTTTTACATGGAAGCCCCAGTGATGCCCAACTTAGCTTTTAAAAGGAAACAGTACTTTGGAGGCCAAGAGGGAGGCCCGGCTGGAACTCACCAGCAGCACATGCCGGATGCCCAGCTCGGCTGTCCAGTCCCTCTTGAGCACGTTGACGCAGATCTCACCATTGGCGCCCACGTTTGGGTGGAAAATCTTGGTCAGGAAGTAGCCCTTGGGTGGGGAGGCAGGGAAGTCCTTCCCCAGCAGGAGTTTCATGCGGAACAGGCCCCCAGCATATGGGGTCCCCTCTGGAGTGCAGGAGAGGGGCACTGGGTCAGGTCAGGAGGCTCAGGACTCCCAGGCACCCCACAAACCCCCAAAGCCCTGTCTCCTCGCTGTGGTGGCCTTCTCTGCCAGACTGAGGGACTCCTGAGAGCGGAACAGCAGGGTTCCCAGAGGGCACAGGCACTCCCGTCAGTTAACCCCGACTGCACCCCACCTGCGTCCACACCATGCGTGGCCTCCACCCCGAGGCCTCCTCTCCACTCCCAAGTAAAAGGAGACCCTTCACTTCCCACACTTCCCAGGAGCCACAAACCCTCTCACCCAGGTGTCTTCCCAGGGAACACCTGTTTGAAAGCCTGTGGGCAAGTGATGGGACAGCTGCCAACTCAGCAGCCCTTCCCGTCTCGGTGGGTGGTTCTCTCATTCACCCCCTTGCTCAGGTTGCTCCGGGTTCATGGCTGCTCCTCACGCCCCAGCCCCCAAATCCAACCCATCGGCAGCTTGGGCAGCCACCCTCCAGGCCCCCTCCTGCAACTCCACCTCCAGGCACAGAACCAAGTCACCCTCACCCATGAAATGCTCAGTGGAGTCCTGAGCGCCCCACAGCTCTCCCCACCACAGGCCCCAGCAACCTCTCACATCTACTTCCGTCGCGCCTACAGAAGGCTTTTGCGCCCTGATGGACGCCACGGCAAGCTCCACCTCTCTCCTTTCTGTTCCCCCAAGACATCCGCTGCGCCTGACTCAGGGCTTTGAGGGTCCTCACTGCCTGCCCCTCAACTGTCACCACTTCAAAGTCTTCCCCAACCCCTCCCGACTGTCCCCACTCCTGACCAGGTCCTTCACCCACTCTTGGAACCTCTTGGTTTCTTTGCAGAAGAAACTCAGTGCACATGAAACACGCTAACCCACCGCACAATCACAGAATCCCGGGCCATCATTTGGCCACCCAGCCCCAGCGCAGGGCTTGGCTTGTTCCCTGACAGTGACAGCAGGTTGACATCTGGTCCACCCTCCAAGTCTTTGCCCGTACTAGTCCCACTGCCTGACATCCTGTTCCCACTCCCCCTAATTCCTACCGTCTCTCAGGCCTGAGGGAAACCACGTCTGGGCCTCTCGTTAAATACTCCCCAGCTTTTTTTAAAGCGCTTAGAGGAAAAGTCATTTGAGGTATCCTACCCTGCAGGCCATGACCACCACCAGAATAAGAGGTGGCTGCCTGCCCACCCGGCGTCCCCAGAATCTGCAGAATTCAGCTGATGTCCTAACGGGAGCGTCCTTATTCTAAAGATGACGAGAAACCTAGGAGTGGGCCCTCCCTCTTTGGTTCCCACACTCACCAGGGCCTTCAATGGTGACCTGCAGGTCGGTGAGATCCTCCTCGTTAGGGAAGACTTTGATGCCATCCGGTGGGTCAGTGGTCAGCGTCGTCACCTCCTTGTACACCAGGCGAATGATGTGGGGGGGTAGGTTCTCCACGTTGGAGTTCTGCGCACAGAGAGGAGTGAGCGGCCGGCGGAGCCCGGGCTTCCTGCACCATCTAACGATGCAGCGGCCGCGTAGTCTTGACCCTGCAGTCCTAGTCTGTCAACCACCCCTGAGCCAAGGACCCTGTACCCAGGATGCTTCGGGCGGCGGTCCCAGACTCATCTCACACTAGAAGTAGGGGCGGGTCTCCGAAGGGACCTGCGGATGGCTTCACCTTCCCCATCAGACCCCACAACCACTCGCCATGCGCCTCCAGCGATTCCGGGTAGGCCCAAGGGCTACGCTGGTCCTCTCCCCTCCCTAACCTTGATAAAACCACTCTAGAAACCCCAGCTCAGGCCTGGAGATGGCGGCGGAGCGCCCTTGCTCCCAGAACACCCACGGTCGGGCCTTCCCCTCCAGGGAACCGGCGGGCCGCCCGGGCGCCTGCCCCGCTTCCGGGAAGACCGGAGAATCCAGCCATGCCCGGGACCCCCAGGCGGGTCTTCCAAGCCCCCGACCGCTCTCAAGAGGCTCCGGAAACCCCGCCTCCTCCTCCGTGGCCCTCACTGCCCCTCCCGGGCCTGGCCGCTGCGCTCACCATGATTGCGGCCGGCCGGGGGCGGGTCCCCCCGGCCCCCTTTCTAAATTCTCCGGGCCGCCGGCAGGGGCGGGGGGCCCAACTACTGCCGCTGCGGCCTTCGCAAGGCCCAGCGGCCCCGCTCCGTTCCCCGCTGCCTCCGCCGTCCGCCGCGCACCGCGTACGAAACCCCACCCGCCTGGGTGCCCGGCAGCACTAAACCGGTCGCGCGCGCACAGGAGCCGTTTTATATCCGCCCGTAGGCCACGCCTCCCCGCGTCTTCGGAGCGCCGCGCCTCGGCTCGTGACGTCAGCGCGCACGGTCCTCGGCTTTCGAGGGCTCGCCTCCTTTCCCCAAGCTGCGGGTAGAAGCAGGAGAAGTTGGGAAGGAGGACGTGCGGTGGGCCGACCCACGGGGGAGCGCGGGAGTCAGAATAGAAACCCTGGAGAATGAAAGGGTTTAGAAGGGGATGTAGGGAGGGAGAGGACGTGTGGGGCGACGCGGCCGCTGATTGGGCCGTTTGAAATGAGACGCTTTCACGGCCCGGCGTGCGTGCGCGCGCCCTGACGCCCAGGAAATCGCGCCCGCGACTAACGGTCGGCAGGCGACCCCGGGCCGGGCGAGGGGAGGCGGGACCGAGTGGGGTTTAAACGGATGATGGAAGGCGCTCCGGCCAATAGGGGCGCGTAGTCATGGGATGTAGTCACCTGACTCCCGTGAGCCAATCCTGGATGGAGAAGGCAGTGCCAGGGGGCGGGGAGGAGTGGAGAGCGGCCAATGGGGGCCCTGTCTAGTGCAGGCAAAGCCGCTCTCAGCCAACGAAATTTGTTGGTTTTTGTATTTGCAAATAGAGTGTGCGCGGCCGCCCGCGCCCCCTCCTCAGCCAGTGGTTGAGGTGGACGCGGGGACTCGACGTACATTTTTCTGCGAGGCGCCATTTTGTTCCGGGCCTGATCTGTGATCTGTGTGTCTAGTCGCGTAGGTCCCAACACCAGTAAGCACGACCTTGCAGGCAGGGACGCCTGGCCCTCCAATGTGCGACCTCTGACCCTGGCCGGGCCTCAGTTTACCCACGTGGGAAGTGGGCGCTGGGATCCCTCGCGATCCCCAAGGAAGAAGCCAGGTGCGGCCCTGCGCCGACGCGCGCGACCTGGGAGCCGAGTGACCCCGGTGGGCGCCGCCGCCCGGTGTGGTCTCCGCTCGGCCAAAGCGGGTCTCGGGAAGGCCCCGCCCCGGCTTCCCCTCGCGGGGCCGCAGCCGGGAAAGGACAAGGAAGGTGTGAGGAAGCCCTGCGAGCAGACCCAGTGCGAGTGCACCCATGACTAGGGGTGGGCGCGGGCTCGGCCCGACTGACAGACGAGGACACTGCAGGCAGGGTGCGTCGAGGGACTGCAGGGCCCAGCCGAGCCGGGCTGGGGGGCTTGTCCCACTGAGCTCCATGGAAAAAGTCCACCCAAAAGACGCGATGGTGGCGGAGGTGGTGGTTATGACGTGACCACCGTGTGCCGGGCCCCGTCTCAGCTCCTGTTTATGCTTGGTCTCGTGTGATCCTTGCAACAGCCCTGCCGGGCGGACGTTATTATAACCGCGCTGTGGACACCTGCATTCGTTCAATAAACTGGGGAACGTCCAGGATGTGGCAGGCAGGATGGTTAGGGATGGCAGAGTGAAGGGGAGCTCTGAGCTTACCTCCTTGTCGGGGAGCCAGACAGTAAGCCCCTGAATGTATGTCACGTGGGCGAGTGCTAAATCCTGAAGGACAGTGAATCAGAGCCAGGGGATAGAAAGGGAGGGCTGGGGTTGCTGTTTGACCTTGGCTGGGCAGGGAAGGCCCTGGAGAAAAGCATTCAGAGCAAAGGGAACAGAAGGTGCAGAGACCCCGTGCGGGGATGGGGCTTGGTGTGCTGGGCAGCACCTGGATTGCCCGTGAGGCTGGGTCGGAGTGGTCACGCAGGTTGGGGGCGCTGAGGTTGGAGGTGGGGTGGGAGTGATGGTTGTGTCTACACTGGGCTAGGATGAGCAGCCTGTGCTTTTCTTCAATCCAGGGATAGCCACTGGAGGCTTCAGACAAGACGTGACTACATCAGGCACAGAGAGGCTGACGTTGCCACTGTCCAGGTGGGGGTGATGGCAGCAGGTTGGTGGCAGTGAGGGTGGTGAGAGGTGATGGGGTCCAGTAAAGTCAACGGGACCTGGAGTGAGAAAGGGAAGGGGGATTGGCTACCCCCTGAAAAGTCACCTTAAAATTGGGGCCAGCACACCTTTTCAGTAAAGGTTTTAGGCTTTGTGGGGCGTCTGTCCCAGCCCTCTCAGTTCTGCTGCTGTAGCCCATGTGCATACGGAGGAGGGTGGCTGTGTTCCAGTCAGACTGCAAAAATAGGCAGTGGCTAGAGTTGGCCCTCAGGGAAGCTGTTGTTTAGGATCCCTGGGATCCTGACCCTGACATGCCCCAAGCCTGTGAGTAACCTCGCAAGAACCCTCACCAGTGCACTGGAGTAACTAACTCCCAAACTCCCAGGAGGTCCCCTTGCACTCACCCCTGAGGGCCCAGGTGTCAGCCACGCTCTGTCACCAAGGCCGTGTGGGCGTGAGTCCCCTGTGCTGGGAGAGCTTCCCACCGCCGCCTCTGTCCCCATGGCCTAGGTGCACTTCTGCTGTGGTTTTGTAGTCTCGCAGACCAGCGTCCCTGGCCCCCATCCCAGGCTGCTCCACTTGACCTCTGCTCTTCATGGTCTGTCAGACTCTGTCCTTTCTTGCTTGCTAGCACATTTATCTTTGTCTCCCCTGACTAGATCAGCCCCAGGAGAGCAGGGACTCTGTTCTCAGTCCCTAACGGGGCTAAAAGCATTGATTCATTCAGTATTTACTGGGCACCTCCTATGTGCCGGGCACCGTTCTGGGTGCTGGGGTATGTCAGAAAACAGATAAGGGTGTTTGCCCTAGTGGTGAGGAAGGCAGACATACAACAAAATCTAGTGAGCAAGTAAAGCGCGTGGTGCATAGAAGGGAGGCAGGAAGTGAGCCATGTGCTTATCAGAGGAAGAACATTCTAGGCAATGGGAACGGCTGGAGCAAAAGCCTGGCACGTTGGAGGAGCTGCAAGGAGGCCAGTGTGGCTGGAACAGAGTTATGGGGGGGAGGTGCTGGGAAATGAGGTCAGAGAGGTGTTTGTGGTCAGGGGCTCAGGGCTTTGCTCTGAGGTACTAGGGAGCCACTGCAGGGTTTTGAACAGAGGAGTGCTGTGGTCTGACTTAAGTCTTTCCAGGTCACTGTTGGATGGAGAAGAGCTTAAAGGGAGGCATGGGTGGAGGCAGGGAGGCCAGTGAGGAAACTGTTGCAAAAACTCTGAGTAGAGGTGGTGGTCAAAGAAGATACATAAATGGCCAATAAATACATGGCAAGATGCTCAACATCGTTAGCTATCGGGGAAATGCGAGTTAGAACCACACTGAGATGCCACTTCATGCTATCAGGATGGCTATAATCATAAAAGTCAGTAACAAGTGTTGGGGAAGATGCAGAGAAACTAGAGCCCTCACAGCCGGTGGGAGTGAAAAAGGGTGCAGTTGCTGTAGAAAACAGTCTGGTGGTCCTCAAATGGTTAAACATAGAATTAACCACATGACCCAGCAGTTCCAGTCCTAGGTATATACCCCAGAGAAGTGGAAACATGTTCACACAAAACATCTACACAAATGTTGACACAGCATGATTTGTGATAGCCAGAATGTGGAAACAACCCAAATGTCCATCCACTGATGAGGGGCTAAGCCAGCTCTCTTATACCGTACAGTGTACTTTTGTGCGGCTGTAGGAAGGAATGCAGTCGTGACACATGGTACACATAGATGGACTTCAGAACCACTATGCTGAGTGAAGAAAACCACACATGACCCCACTCACCTCAAATGAGCAGGACAGTCAGAGACATACACACAGTCGGTTAGTGATTGCCTGGGGCTGGGGAGGATGGGGGGTGGACGGGGAGGGGCATACTGATGGGTGCAGATTCTCTTTTTGGAATGATGAACTGTTCTGAAATTGTGATGGCTGCATAACTCTGAATGTACTAAAAACCACTGAAGTGTACACTTTAACGAACTGCATGTGTGGTCTGTGAATTGCATCTCAGTAAAGCTGTTAGGGAGGAAGTGGATGCTGCCCGAGATGGGAGGTGGAGGGAGGAAGGGAGAGGAGCCGGTTCAGCGGGCAGGGAGGGGCTGAGCTCTGGGGAAGAGCTGGGTAGGGCCCTAGGGAGCCGGTGAGGACTGTGGCTGGGAGCTGGGAGCACAGCTGTTGGTCCTCAGTCCCTGTGGAGACCAGCCCGGAGGCCCCGAGTGGAAGGTGAAGATCCAGCTGCGAGTTGGCTGTGGCCTGGCCCTGAGTGGTGGTGGTGGCCGTCGGAGTGAAGGGATGGGTTCGAGAACCGGCCGGGAGGTGGCGCAGCGATAGGCCTCTTGGGTCCGAATCCACAGAGGGTGGGCTGGGGAGGAATGGGGGCAGTGCTTTTCCTTTGCTAAGTGCTGCTGATCCAGAAACTTTGTTGTACAGTGAAATTCCTTCAACTTGAATTCTAACTTCAGAAGTTAATCTTCATTTCTACCGTTCATCTGTATTAAATTACGAAAGAAATACGGCCTCGGAGGGAAATCCTCACAGTTACTGCAGTGCGGGAAGGAAAGCAGGGGGTCGCCACTGTAGCTCTCCTCTTCTCACCTTCACGCCTCCCAGACACCACCATCAGCCCAGGTGTCGTCTTCCCCACACTCGGGCACATTTACCTGAGGTGCATCTCACGTTCCCACATGTCCTCCCTGGCAGCACCTGGAGAGCAGCTGCTGCTCAGTGTTCCCCCACAAGGACCCCCCTGGGATTCTAGTGTTCTCCTTCTGGTGGTCTTCCCGCCAGGTCCAGGCTGTGGCGAGAAGCTGCCGTGCACATCCTCGGACATCCATCTTTGGGCATAGCTGTGACTGTGTCTGGAGAAATCCTTGAAGTGGGATCACAGTATCGGAGTGTGTGTCTGCAGTTCTGCCCAGTAGCCCTCGGTGGGGTTCAGCTCGTTGAGATCCCCAGCATCAGGATCTGACTTGTTCACTCAGGTGTTTCTTTAGCACTAGATGTTTGCCAGATGCTGTTCTAAGTTCTTGGTATAGATGAGTGACTGAGGCTGGAAACAAAATGCTACATCCCTGGGGCTTCCATTCTGGTGGGGAGG